TATTACTCTTACTTTTTATTCTACAACAGTTTTTCTGGAGCAATGCAGAGCTCCAAAATACGGCCCGAGCCGGGGCGTAATGGATAACTCCCGGGGCGTAATGAATAATGATTGCTAATTATTATCTACAGTTTCCAATCTTATTGCATATTGTAAATTAAGGTTCCTGGGTATTCCGTGAATGCTATTTTTATTCAGCAATACTTCAACTATCGCTTTTTCAATAATATTCTGTGATATTGGCACTCTCTCAATTTTTTTTGTAATTTCTCATTAAAATCGTAGCTTGAAATCTACTATTTGTAAATTTTAGACCAAAGCTTTAAAATTTTGTTAAAAACACCTAAACATACCTAAACTAAGTGACAAGCAATCGCGAAAACAAACCTACACTTCGCCGATATGGTAGGTTGCTTTTTATACATAGCGTATTGCATTAGCCAACACGCCCCGGGAAAAACTAGCCATTACGCCCCGGGGGTACTCGGCAAATATTTGGCTTATTTTTAACAATACCGGAAGTGTGAATCAAAAATCTCGAATTGTCCCTTAAAAACAAACGTGTCAAGATCGAAACCTCATTTCAGTTTTTTTTTTAAAGCTATTTTTGAAAAAAATAGAACGAAAAAACGAAAATTTTGAAAAGTTACTTTCGTATGTCAAAAATAGTTTTTCTACTATATTTCTTACAATAATGAATAAATATTAATGAAACTTCCGACAAACTTGCAGTATACCAAGTACAATAACTTGTCTATTGTGCGAAATTATTACAATTTACTGTTTTTAAACAAATTACAATTATTCATTACGCCCCTTAGCCATTACGCCCCGGTCTCCCCTACATTAGAATTTGAAAAAATGATATACAAACAGACTAAAGCAATAAGTTTGATTCAATTATTAAATTTAATATACTTACTGGAAACAAGCAATAAAAATTATAACTTAAATCCTCGAATGTATCCACGTGCTTAACTTCGGCAAAGACAGTAAAATTAATCACATTTTCAAATAAATGGTTAACTATTATAATTACAAACAAAATTAAATCAATATGACTGCACCTGATGAGAAATCTTAAATAACAAATGTTCACAAATACAATAAAATTACGAATTAAAAAATGCGTCAACGAATTTAAAACTCTTTCCACAATGGGAAACCCAAAACATGTGAGATTTTTAAGGTTGATTCACAAACACGTTGTCCTTAAGGCAGTCTTTTCATGAAGGCTGCATTCCTATGTAGACGGAACAGAAGAATCTTTAATAGAATTGACCAATCAAAATATGTTTTCAAGAAATCCAATCATCTGATTGGTAACTTGTATTCAACTATTCAACTGTTCCACCATACTTAAACCCATGAAAAAATTAAATTATTTAAGTAAAAACTATTTATTTATTTATAAATTGTTTATTAACAATCGTTGAATTTTCAATACCAATCATCAGCATAAGCTAAGGCTCAGAGGGAAAAGATTGATCCCATAGCTCCCAATGCATGTTTGCAACCTCAAAAAGAGAATTTCAGTTTCCTAATTTTAATCAAAAAACCTATATATTTATTTTATTAAAAGAAAAAAAACATTCAAAAAAGATGTAAAAAAAATAATAATAAAATTTTTTAAGGCTTAAATATTAAAAAATGTATTTAAATAATTTTTTTAAAAAGTAATCAAAATCATTACACATCATAGTCAACATATGGTTGGTACTACTGGAATATTAGTATATTGTCAGAGGTTAACCTCAAATTTTTTAGTGTTAAGAACACGAAAATTACGATGGCTATAGCACTCAGAGAAATAAATTTTTTTTTGTAAAAATTATATATTTATTTATGAATTGTTTATTAACAATCGTTGAACTTTTACTACCAATCATAAGCGTAAGCTAAGAATTAGAGGGAAAAAAGAATTTTTGATGCACAACAATTTTTAAGCTAGCACGCAGGAAAATAATTTTTTTTTGAAAAAATTGTTTATTTATTTATGAATTGTTTATTAACAATCGTTGAATTTTTACTACCAATCATCAGCATAAGTTTAGAATTAGAGGGAAAAAAGAATTTTTGATGCACAACAATTTTTAAGCTAGCACGCAGGAAATAAATTTTTTTTTGAAAAAATTGTTTATTTATTTATGAATTGTTTATTAACAATCGTTGAATTTTTACTACCAATCATCAGCATAAGTTTAGAATTAGAGGGAAAAATGAATTTTTGATGCACAACAATTTTTAAGCTAGCACTCAGGAAAATAATTTTTTTTTGAAAAAATTGTTTATTTATTTATGAATTGTTTATTAACAATCGTTGAATTTTTACTACCAATCATCAGCATAAGTTTAGAATTAGAGGGAAAAAAGAATTTTTGATGCACAACAATTTTTAAGCTAGCACTCAGGAAAATAATTTTTTTTTTTGTAAAAATTGTTTATTTATTTATTAATTGTTTATTAACAATCGTTGAATTTTTACTACCAATCATCAGCATAAGTTTAGAATTAGAGGGAAAAAAGAATTTTTGATGCACAACAATTTTTAAGCTAGCACGCAGGAAATAATTTTTTTTTTGAAAAAATTGTTTATTTATTTATGAATTGTTTATTAACAATCGTTGAATTTTTACTACCAATCATCAGCATAAGTTTAGAATTAGAGGGAAAAAAGAATTTTTGATGCACAACAATTTTTAAGCTAGCACTCAGGAAAATAATTTTTTTTTTTGTAAAAATTGTTTATTTATTTATTAATTGTTTATTAACAATCGTTGAATTTTTACTACCAATCATTAGCATAAGTTTAGAATTAGAGGGAAAAAAGAATTTTTGATGCACAACAATTTTTAAGCTAGCACGCAGGAAATAATTTTTTTTTTGAAAAAATTGTTTATTTATTTATGAATTGTTTATTAACAATCGTTGAATTTTTACTACCAATCATCAGCATAAGTTAAGAATTAGAGGAAAAAAAGAATTTTTGATGCACAACAATTTTTAAGCTAGCACTCAGGAAAATAATTTTTTTTTTGTAAAAATTGTTTATTTATTTATTAATTGTTTATTAACAATCGTTGAACTTTTACTACCAATCATAAGCGTAAGCTAAGAATTAGAGGGAAAAAAGAATTTTTGATGCACAACAATTTTTAAGCTAGCACTCAGGAAAATAATTTTTTTTTGAAGAAATTGTTTATTTATTTATTAATTGTTTATTAACAATCGTTGAACTTTTACTACCAATCATAAGCATAAGTTTAGAATTAGAGGGAAAAAAGAATTTTTGATGCACAACAATTTTTAAGCTAGCACGCAGGAAATAAATTTTTTTTTTTGTAAAAACTGTTTATTTATTTATGAATTGTTTATTAACAATCGTTTAATATTCAATACCAATCATAAGCATAAGCTAAGAATTAGAGGGAAAAAAGAATTTCTCATGCACAACAATTTTTAAGCTAGCAAGCAGGAAATAAATTTTTTTTTTGTAAAAATTGTTTATTTATTTATGAATTGTTTATTAACAATCGTTGAATTTTTACTACCAATCATCAGCATAAGTTTAGAATTAGAGGGAAAAAAGAATTTTTGATGCACAACAATTTTTAAGCTAGCACTCAGGAAAATAATTTTTTTTTGAAAAAATTGTTTATTTATTTATGAATTGTTTATTAACAATCGTTGAATTTTTACTACCAATCATCAGCATAATTTTAGAATTAGAGGGAAAAAAAAATTTTTGATGCACAACAATTTTTAAGCTAGCACGCAGGAAAATAATTTTTTTTTGAAAAAATTGTTTATTTATTTATGAATTGTTTATTAACAATCGTTGAATTTTTACTACCAATCATCAGCATAAGTTAAGAATTAGAGGAAAAAAAGAATTTTTGATGCACAACAATTTTTAAGCTAGCACTCAGGAAAATAATTTTTTTTTGAAAAAATTGTTTATTTATTTATGAATTGTTTATTAACAATCGTTGAATTTTTACTACCAATCATCAGCATAATTTTAGAATTAGAGGGAAAAAAAATTTTTTGATGCACAACAATTTTTAAGCTAGCACGCAGGAAAATAATTTTTTTTTGAAAAAATTGTTTATTTATTTATGAATTGTTTATTAACAATCGTTGAATTTTTACTACCAATCATCAGCATAAGTTAAGAATTAGAGGAAAAAAAGAATTTTTGATGCACAACAATTTTTAAGCTAGCACTCAGAGAAATAAATTTTTTTTTGTAAAAATTGTTTATTTATTAATGAATTGTTTATTAACAATCGTTTAATATTCAATACCAATCATAAGCATAAGCTAAGAATTAGAGGGAAAAAAGAATTTCTCATGCTCAACAATTTTTAAGCTAGCACTCAGGAAAATAATTTTTTTTTTGAAAAAATTGTTTATTTATTTATGAATTGTTTATTAACAATCGTTGAATTTTTACTACCAATCATCAGCATAAGTTAAGAATTAGAGGAAAAAAAGAATTTTTGATGCACAACAATTATTAAGCTAGCACTCAGGAAAATAATTTTTTTTTTTGTAAAAATTGTTTATTTATTTATTAATTGTTTATTAACAATCGTTGAACTTTTACTACCAATCATAAGCGTAAGCTAAGAATTAGAGGGAAAAAAGAATTTTTGATGCACAACAATTTTTAAGCTAGCACGCAGGAAAATAATTTTTTTTTGAAAAAATTGTTTATTTATTTATGAATTGTTTATTAACAATCGTTTAATATTCAATACCAATCATAAGCATAAGCTAAGAATTAGAGGGAAAAAAGAATTTCTCATGCACAACAATTTTTAAGCTAGCAGGCAGGAAATAAATTTTTTTTTTTGTAAAAATTGTTTATTTATTTATGAATTGTTTATTAACAATCGTTGAATTTTTACTACCAATCATCAGCATAAGTTTAGAATTAGAGGGAAAAAAGAATTTTTGATGCACAACAATTTTTAAGCTAGCACGCAGGAAATAAATTTTTTTTTTTTGTAAAAATTGTTTATTTATTAATGAATTGTTTATTAACAATCGTTTAATATTCAATACCAATCATCATCATAAGGTTAGAATTAGAGGGAAAAAAGAATTTTTGATGCACAACAATTCTTAAGCAAACGCGCAGGGAAGTAAATTATTTATTTAAAAATTCTTTGTTTATTTAAAAATTAAGTTAATAATTAAGTAACATTTATTTATTAAGTAGAAGGTATTATTATTATTATTTTGATTAAATTAAATAATTTTGTCGTCGTACTAAAAGACATACTTATATAGTTTGAATTTCCCTGTTGATAAACATGGCCGACCGTTGTGCGCATGCGCAGTATTGTGTAGCACGGGTAGCACGTTACTCTGTGTATTATATTTTGTTAATTTTTTTTAATGTTATATTTTCTGCAGTTTGTATTACCAAAAGTCAGGAAGTAGTTACCAATCACTACCAAACGACTACCAAACGGTTTCCAGTTTTTATTTTACAAAAAATTGTATTTGCAGTGCTATCGTGAAATTAGCACGCCAAACTTAAAACTTAAATAAATCTTTCAATTTTCGCTACCAAACAAAAAAAACTGACTACCATACACTACCATACGATTACCAAACGAATTCAATTAATTAAATATTAATTTTCTCTAGTTGTTGTGCCAACTTCACGCCGCTGTAGTTATATACCAAAAAAATTTATTCTGAACATTTATAAATATGTCATTATATTATTAATATATTACTTATCACTGCAAAATATACACTCTTTAGTATATATTTTTGTATGCACATATATATTTATTAAATTAATTTTTTTAAATTTATTAATAGTTATTATTAATAATATTCCTGAAACGCACAACATTCACAAACATTAAACATAACCTTCTCAACTTGTAGCTTGTCATGATTTTCTCAGTTATCTGAGTTACTGAGAAAGACAGACAAATGTATTGCACGTGCGCATGCGCGAAAACCATAATTTTCGGTCTTACGTATAGTTTCAATGCGACGAATGGTTTCACTTCCATAGCATTAGTTCAGTCTCCTTCTTCTTCTTCTTCTTTTGTTTAAATGGCCTCTTGTATATACAAATAGCCAGTACTATTAATTGATTAATAATTGAACGTATTAATCCGGAGTTTTTATATTAGAATTGTCCTAGTAGTTAGTTTTATTTCAGTCCAAAGTTAGTCAGGCTTGTAGTAAGCGATTACTCGATTGACGACTATTACAGAGCCGTTAGCTGCGACCCATACATCGGCCAGTGATTTCCATTAGATCCGTTATGACTAGTGTTGGTTGGTTGAGGAGGCGTGTGTGCGTCCTTCTGTTGTTGACGCCAATGATAGTAGTGGCGCGAGGTTTGTGCGTTTTTAATTCTTTTCTTTTTAAAAAAAAAGGAAACAAAATTTCTGTTGGCACAATTATAGATCAGTAAGATATATCCATTGTTGTAAGGTATTTTGCGATGAAAATTAATTCAGGAATCCAAAGCGAGCATTACTATTATTCTAGTCGACTGCCATAGTGAGAGGAAAAAGTTATAGGAATTTTAAGTATACAATTCAACTCGCTTCAATTAAAGAGCCCATCCAGAAAGTCCAAAACTAATTACAATTTTAAATTTTAATTTATTTGAAATCAGATATCTTTGAAATTTATATCATATAATCATGTTCCCACTCGAAAAGAATTTACCGATATTAACTGTTATTTCAAGATCTGGATTGTAAATTAGTTGGTCAATATTAAACTCATCAAAATTGAATTGTGGCAACCTTTTCAACAGAAATGCCTCGAGGGCTGGCCTCTGAGCAGAGAGCAAAGGACAGTCTTTAAATAAATGAATTAACGATTTAAAGTCATTGCCACAAGGGCACTCCAGAGGTAAGGTCCATCCCATTCGGGCGAAGTGCTCTCCCGTGCAGATGTGCGAAGTACGTAGTCGAGTTATAGTATTGATATTTCTCCTTGATGTCTCGACACCCCGGAACCAAGGCCTTTTTGTTTTAACTGTGATGTGATTAAAGTATTTATTTGTTAGAGGAGTGGAGAAGGAATAGGGCCATGTGAGATTCAGCCAATGTTCATAATCCCTGCCAATCAGCCGAAGAAGATCGCCAGGAGGGCCACCCTGAAGATTACCAAAGGGGAGGGATAGGGCATTACGAGCCCAACCATCAGCAAGTTCGTTGCCCCGGATACCCGAGTGAGAGGGGATCCAAATGAACGAGACTAAACTGCCTCTATCCAGAAGGGCATTGATCTCCTTCATGATTCTCTTTAGTAAAGGGTGTGGCGAGGGGTTAATGAAACGATATTTAATTTCATTGAGGGCATTCTGTGAGTCAGAAATAATCAGTATATTGTCCAGGTTCTGTTGGACAGCCTCCTTAACGGCTGAGAGGATAGCATAAAGCTCGCATGTATCTATCAGCATGAGACCGCTCAAACGAACACTGAAATTTATATTTAGTTTTGGAATGACAAAGCTAGCACCCGAAGTGCTCTTAACTGGATCATGTGATCCATCGGTATAAATGTCAGTGAAATCCTCGTACTTGGCCAGAAGCAATTCAGAAAAGGCCTGTGCCGGCGAGACATGTGATTTGATCTCCAGACCAATCTGGAGGTCGACATCAACATCTCTAATGAGATCGTTCCAGGTCATCTCAAATCGGAGGGAGGGCTTTTTGGTCCTGCCGCACCTACCCATAATCTGGGATACATCCCCAAACGCCGTCAACAGAGGCAGTCGAATTATTGGAGAGGGATTAGAATTTTGGTTGTTCAGGTTGATTCTATTTTGTAAACATTGTAATTTTGTGAAAAGTGGATTTAAAGTCCAGGACAGATTGCGGATCATATGACGCCTGTTGATAAGAGATCTTCGCAAAGATAGTGGTGGGATATTAGCCTCAGAAAGGAGTATTCCAATCGGTGTTGACCTCATGCAACCGAGAATAGTTCGCAAGGCCTGATTTTGGATCCGATCTAAAGACCTCAGACCATTCTGGGCCGACTCGGCAAAGAACTGGCTACCCCATTCAAGATGTGAGCGAGTTAACCCCTTGAATACGGTGAGCAGTGATGACGGGCTCGCCCCCCAAGAGATCCTAGACATTGATTTGATTACATTAAGCGTTTTGGTCGCCTTCTGCGAAATTTCCCTTACGTGTTTCTGCCAACCGAGTTTTCTGTCCAGAATTATACCCAAGTAAGTCAATTCAGATTGTGCTGTGACCGTGGAATTTTCGATTTCAATAAAACAATTTTCGAAATTCTCATTTGATCTTGTGAAGATAGTCAGCTGGGACTTTCCCGGGGATATGGACAGGCCCACTTCTGCGAGCCAAGGTGTCAAATCCAAAATAGTTTTTTCCAGGAGACGGAGGGAGGATTGGAGATCCTTAGATGTGATGTACAGAAGTAGGTCATCAGCAAACATCAACCACTTGACTGCACCAGGAACAACCTCACCAATCCTGCTCAACGACAGATTAAATAACAACGGGGACAAAACTCCACCTTGTGGTACACCAATAAAAGAATCTCTAGATTTTTCACTTTCGGAATCAAAGTATAAATGTTTAGCCGTAATAATAAAAGAGATAAAATTGATTATTCTTGCAGGAGTTCCCAGTTCCATTAATCTATTATAAATAGATTGTGGAAGGATATTAGAAAATGCTCCCTTTAAATCGACCGCTAATGCGAATGTATGTTCTCGGTTAGTAAAACCCTTAGTAACATCAGTTACAAAGACCGAAACGCAGTCCGTCGTCGACCTTCCCCTCCTAAATCCAAACTGATTCATAGGAATCCCATCGTAAAATTCGACATGATGTTCGAGTCTCTTCTGAATAATTTTTTCAAAAAGTTTGCAGACATTTGATGTGAGAGAAATGGGGCGATAACCCTTTCCCTGAGGTTTGGGCAAGAAGACTACTCTAGTATCTCTCCATGATTCCGGGAATATTGATTTAGTAAAAAATATATTGAAAAGCGATAGTAGGAATTGTTTAGCTTTAAGCGGAAGTTTTTTTAGGATATCATATGTGATAGAATCTGGGCCGGGTGAGGTATTTTTTTTAATGCTGTTTATAGCATTGTGAAATTCAATTTTAGAAAAAGGATTATTGATCAGAGAGTCGCCGTTAAAGTTAGTAAGCAGTGGGAGCAGTGTTGGCAGGACTTCCTCCTGGACAAGGTCATTCTGTAATTTTATAAAAATTTCAGAGTTAGGGTCAGTAGAAATCCCCGTTCTCAGGGGTTGGGTGGCCGTAGCAAATGCTTTGACCTTGGACCATATATGACTCATTCCCATTGTAGGGCTGATGTTATTACAAAATTCAACAAAGGCAACTTTCTTTTTATTTCTAAGAAACCACTTAACCTCATTATCTATTTCGTTAAATCTCAAACGATTGGTGTTTGTCTGAAGCCGAATGAACTCCTTCCTGGCAACCCTCCTCCGCACCAGAGCCTGGTCACACTCTTCATCCCACCACAGGGGTTGAGACTTACGTGTGCCCCTCAAGCGTGAAGGAAAGTATGCCCCCGAGTCCGTCAAACACTGAATTATCTTTTCTATAAATAGTTTATAGGTTTCTAGAGGTTGATTGTTTTCATTGAGACTGTATTCGAGGGTCTCGACGGAAGAATCAATCCGAGAGCAAAATTCGGTCCAATCTACTTTTTTAAGGTTAAGTCGATTAGTTGTGGATTTGATGTATTTAGGGAGAAGATCCAGATCAGCAACAATCAGGTAGTGATCCGAGGAGTAAGTCTCCTCAACCACCTCAAAGCGGGAAAACTGACACAACCGCGTGGAGACGAAAATCAGGTCGATATTACTACTGTTCCTGCCATCACCACCAACAAAAGTTGGAAGAGAGTCATTCAGCGGAACCAGATCGTAATCTTCAATTAACTGGGTGAGATCGTTGCCCCTCAAGTTGCAATAGGGGGAACCCCAGGTCCAAGAATGTGCATTAAAATCACCCAGAAAGATAATCGGATGTTGAGAAGAACAGTTCTCGATAAGATCGGTCCATTGTTTCATTGGAACTTTAATGTTTGGGGGTGCATATATTCCCAGGATTTGGACTTTGAATTGGGTTGTGATGATATTTATTCCCACACAATCAAGATGTCTCTGTGTTAAGTTTGAAATTATAATAGGGGAAACAGCTAGGTCCTGTTTAACCAAAATCATCACCCCACCCCCCGGGTGATCACTCCTTCGATCATGACGGAAGGTGAGATAGCCTCTAATTTGCCACACTGGGACCTTATTCGTGAGCCAGGTTTCTGTAACTATTAGTATGTCTAACTTGTGGGTGTGAAGCAATGACTCGATTTCTGGTTTCTTATTCAGGACACTGTGTGCATTCCAGTTACCATAACGCAGGCCTCTACGGCCGACAGCAGAGGACATCCTATCAATGAAAATAGACAAAAATAAAAGCTTAACTCATATAATTTGTAAGAATGTAATATTTAGTAGTAAGCAACGACTTAGGATGGAAGAGACCAAGGATGCTCAAATAAGCAAAGAAATGGGGATGAAACACAAACCAAGACAAAAATAAACAAGGAGGGAAGAACAGAATTAACTAAAAATAAAATTAAAAGGAGAAGTATAACAATTAAGTAGCCTAAATTTTACAACAATAAGCGGCTCAAACTTTTCTCCCTTCTTTCCAAAAAAAGAAGAGAAAAAAAAGAAAAAAGAAAAATCAGAGAACAACACTAATCAAAAACCTTACACCAAGAACAAAAAACGGTTTTGTTTTTTTTTCTTTCTCTTTTCTTCCTCCTTCCTTCCTCCTTCCTTTTAATTTATTTATTTATTTATTTTTTAATTTTTAAAAATTTTTGTTTATTTATTTATTTATTTATTTTTCTTAATCAGAAAATATAAGTTTAGGCGTTTTACGTGAGTGTATTATGACTCAAATCAAGGACTGTTGTGGCAGTCGGAAATTAGAAACATGCAATCCTTCATTCATTCAGGACAAAATTAATTAGTAAGTAGAACGCAAAAACAATAAAAAAAGGGAGAGAACAACAGAAACAAACGTACAGAAAAGAAAAAAAATGTAACAAACCAACCACCCAATTATATTGGGAGTGCATTCATATGAAACTAAGATAAGGACATGCAGTTAAAAAGAAAAAGTAATAGTACCATGCAATTTAAGGATATAAAAAGACCAAATTTTCTCATTGTTCCCTTTTCCAATAAACAACACAAATTATTTGAAATTAATTATGATCCCTCAATACTGATCATCATTACTCCACGATCCTCAGTGGTTGAGGTATTCGTTTAACTCATCCTCGAGTGATCTCAACTGAGAGATAGGAGAGGCCAGATTTTCTTGTATAGTTCCTAGTAAATCAGAGTTCGATCTATTTAAAGCAATTAATGTATCTACTGCAGTGAGTTGTTCCGTTGTACACGGTGGAAGATTCAATTTTAAGGAAGAGAGATTTAATGTCTTTTGTTGAGAGGTAGAAGGGAGTTCCTCCCCTCGAGGGTCAGCCTTATCCGAAGCAGCATATGTGGGTTCAGGTTCAACGAGTCCATCAGGGAGAGGGGGGGCAACTATGAGGGAGTCATTCCTAGAATGAATGACTCCATCAAGATCTGGATTTTCCGCAAAAAACATCGCCTTTGCCTCAGAGCGATTGCAATTTGTTGTATATCTCAATTTCAAGATCCCGAACTCCATCTTAAAGATGGGGCACAGGTTCGATGAGGCGACATGTTCTCTCTTACAATTCTTACAGCATGGTGGCAGTTCTTTATAAGGACACAAGTCTGTGAGGTGTCTACCTGAGCAATGCTCACATGAGGGGTAGGTAGACCTGCATTGGTTCTTGGTGTGACAGAACCTCTGGCACCTAAAGCATCTACGGGGTCTTTGAATCACCGGGGTGATTTGGATTGAGAATCCTCCGACTGTGATGAATCTTGGGACAGTGAGACTGTTGAAGGAGAACTCAACTCTGTTGGTAATAATGTTTGGTGGTCGCACCAGCCTTTTAATACAGGTTATGTTCTTCAATTCCTCAGGAGAACTGACTCTGACTATATCCCTGACCGAACGCTCAGGAGGAAACCAGTCAGTAAAACCCCGTTTATAGAGAAAGGTGTCAGGAATGAACATCCTATAACCACCATTTCTAAGGGCGGCGGAGGAAACTAGGTCATTGGCACTTTGAAAATGCTCACACTCGACCTTAATCTGGTTTATACCGGTTCGTGAGACTTGTTTACCCCCAGAGACAATTGGAGTAAGGAGATCAATGACCTTGATAGGGTCTAACTTGCCGAGATTTAATCCCGACACCGTACTTTCAATGAAAACAACAAAGGGAGATGCACTGAAGGCTGTATAGAGGGACATAGTACCAGTGCTATGCCAATTCAGGTCTGATTCCTCATAGACAATGTATTCGTTCGAGTTCACGGTGTCGGCTGCAGGATCAGCAAGGGTAACCAATGCCTCGTCAGGCCCAGCATGGATGGAGGGGGACGCGATAATGGTAGGCGTGTCAGAGATCGTTTTTGAGTGTTCACCCACTGAATGGGCAAAATCACCAAGCATCACCATATTATTGGCCCTCTTAGCAGTCTGCTTCAGCGACTCACCAGAATCATTGTGCTGTGTGGGAGCATTAGTGGTGGGGGAAGGATTCACTCTTTTGCGCTTGGGTGTTTGGGATGAGGACATATCAGGGAATTGAGTTATGTTCATACCGGTAAGCAAATCTAGGTTCTTAGCTGGAGTTGATGTAGCGTATATTTGACCAGGCGTTGGTTCGGGGATGCCGGAAAGATCACCGTGTATTTCACCGTCATCAATCGAGACTAATGAGGACGACAGTCCTTCCTGTTGGTCTCGTTCTGGAAGTACGCTTTCTCCACCCGAGGTGAGCACTCCGCGCGAACAAGCAGGTTGGTTAGACATCTCAGTACCTGACGAGAATAAGTAAATTTTAGAAAGAGAGAAATATTTAAATAAACAAAAAAAAATAAGTTCAGTCTGCATATAAGAACCACAAACTAAACAGTATCTATCTGTTTGCTTGCTTTACTCTCTCTCCTCTACTCCTCACCCTCCTCTCACTTTCCCTATGAAAGAAACAAATTGAAATGAGGAATCTACTCCGATTGGCCTCAGCTCTCTACCAAAACAGCACCGAGTGCAACTCTGCCAAACAATTTACTTCACAAGATCAAAAATAAAAATACAGAAAAGGAAATTGACAAGCAATACATACATTTGACCGACCGCCACAATCCAATGCAGCTTATTGAATCATCTTTTTGTAACAGCAATCTCAAACAGACTAAACGTACTCAAAAAACAAAACGATTAAATTGCATATATATCGTAAGGAATATGTGTAAAAGGAGCTGAAGGCAATTTCTGTCGCTTTGATATGTAATGTATGTAAAAATAGGTGGACGTAGATTGACCTTATGTAGTTCTGTTGTAATTTAGGGTTAATCCTAATATCAGTTGATGGTGATATTCTTCTTGGTGGAACGGAGACCTGTTAATTTGTCCAGCCAGGTGTCTCGATTTTCAGCAATCCACGTGGCGAGATGAGGTTATGTTTGATCCAAGAAGTATTTGGAGGATTAGTCTTCGTGTGTTAACTATTAAGGATTTTATTCCTCTTTATGAACACATATTATTTCCTTAGTACGATCCTAAGGATGTATTTATATAAGCACAATTCAATACAATAAAGTTAATACTAAGTAATCAACAATTAAACGAACAAAACTCAGAAAAACGTGTCTCCCGCTCGACATACAAAACGGAAGTCCGTTCAGTCTCCTTAGTCTTACTCCCTGCCAACAGCATGAAAACATGAAATACATAACACAGATGGGAAACAAGCTTGTAGCTCTTTACTCTGGTTGTCACTTTTAGGTATTAACAGTTTGCTGTTAATTATGTTATTACTCAATTTATTTTAGTTTTACTCAATTACAATTTTCCATGTTCACAATAGTCTCTTTTTATGTTCTTATGTGGAACAAAAGAAATCTATTATAGTTTTAAAAATCACGTCTTTAAATATACTTGTACGCAGGCCTTTACATAAATAGAATAAAGTTAGCCGTTATTAATCTCGAAAAAGATCGAAGACACGATTTTCGCGCGGAAAGAAGAATTTAAAATAGTGTAAATATTCAATAAATAAATAAATTATTAATAATTAATATATTAATATTCTTTGTAAAAAGAGTTAAAGTTAATAAATAATAATTTGCTAAAAGTTACATATTTAATCAAAACCAAGGGGGAAATAAATTCAAGAGAAGCGGGAGAATTTGAAAATATCGATTATGGGATATTTTCGATATTTTTCGCTTGATGCCAACTTCAATTTCTTTTAGCGTTGCCGATTGTTGCCGATAAATGTGTAACATGGCCATAACCTACAATACTCCAAAAAAGTATTATCATTTTAAATCAAGTTTCCCTTACTCTTACTCATCGTTTAATATCTCAAATTTTCCTTATAAGGAATACGAGAATCACTCTGAACAATCAATAAACGAAAATTCATCTTTGAAACAATATATTTAGTTTTGTGCCGTTTAATTAAAAATCATGTCCGATCCTCGTATACGTACATTGAAAATAAAAACTGGAATTGTCAAACGTTTAGCTAAAGAGAAAGTAACTTACGAAAAAGAATCCGAACAACAACGGGAGAGAATTCAAAAATATAAGGATCAAGGTAAATTTTGTCAATTTTTATCGCTTCTCAGTTTTTATTCTAGTGCGCAATAATTAATTAACTGAAAGCACGTTTTGAATTATTTTATCAAATCATTATAATTAATAATAAAAAATCCCTTTAATAAGAACATGGTTGCCACAAAAATTAAATTTTGTTTTTTCCTGATTTCCAGACAAAATTTTGACTTTTTCCCTGACCCTAAAGTTCCTAAAGAATATTTTGATTATTCACTCTACAAATAATTAGATAGGTACTAAAAAGAATGTTCCATTACATTTACTTACAAAATTCTTTAATTGTAAAATTATTCGAAAACATCAACAGTTTTATTTACCATAAATAATAATAATTAATCATTATTATTTTTCCATAAGAATTAAGATTTACAAAAATTTCAAATTCAATCCTCTTTGAAATTGAACAACTTATTAGAATATTTTTATTATAAAACATGAAGATATCGATCACTCCAAGTCTTCGCCTCGGAGTAATTGATTTCTTCATGTTTTATAATAATTAAAGATGACCGAGTGATAAAATCATTATTTTATATTAACAAGAATATTGTTACTGTAACATCTTTAAAATTATTTGCATTATTTCAATTTAATTATTATTTCCTACAATTTTTAAAGGAAATTATTCTTTCAATCAATTATTTTTAATAATTTTCGAAAAAGTTCTTTAAGAATTTTCAACTCCATTTGTTTACAATTCAATTTTACGAAATCACGATTATTCGGAAATTCTTTAATTAAATATATATAAGAAAATAAAAACATTTAAAAAATATTTAATTAAACTATTTCAAAAAAATTAATTCTACAGAATTATTAGTTAAAAGTATAAAAAATTCAAATTTTCAAAAATTTTAATTTGAAACCTTTTTAAAATACAATTATTTCTAAAAATTCACGCTACAATATTTTTAATATTTAATTATTATCTAGAATTTTAACCAAAATCCATTTTTAAATCAGTTTTTATTAAAAAATTCTAAGAGAATTCAATTATTTAAATACAAAAATAAATCATTTATTGAATCATTGTATGTTTCTTAAAATTGAATTCTCATATAGAATTATATCAACAAATTTTTTAAATAATTGAATTTTTTAACGAATTTTAATAAAAATTTTAAGAATAATTACATTTTTCGAAAAAGTCGATTAAAATTGTATTAAAAATAATTAAAATTCTACGATGAGATTTAATATTTATGAAAATAAGTTAATTATGTGAAGAATTTTATAAGAAATTTTTTTAAAATTTGTAAATAATTGCATTCCTGTATTTTGCAGTATTTTATAGAAATTTTATGAAATTCTTTCGAGAAATTTAATTGAAATTGTGTTTAAAATAATTTAATTCTCATATAGAATTTTATTAAAATTTATTATTTATGATAAAATTATTATGAAAATAATGGAGTGCTTATAAAAAATTTATTATTTATGAATATAATTAAATTATTGCAAAGAATTTTTTTAAAAATTTGTAAATAATTGAATTTGTGTGAAATTTTTATTATTTATGAAAAATATTGAATTATTGCGAAGAATTTTATTAGAATTTTTTTTAAATAATTGAATTCATTTGGAAAATTTCATTAAAATAGTAGACAATACAATGGTATTAAGGGAAATTTTTGAAAATAATTGAAATTTTGTCAAGAATTTTATTTTAATTTTTGAAAATAATTGAATTTTGAAAAAGAATTTTATTATAATTTTAAAAATAATTGAACTTGTTGCAAAGAATTTTACTGAAATTTTTTTTAAATAGTTGAACTTCAGCGAAGAAATTTTTTAAAAAATTTGTAAATAATTGAATTCCTGTGAAATTTTTATTATTTATGAAAATAATTAAATGTTTGAGTTGAATTTTATTAAAATTCTTTTAAGTAATTGAATTATTTTAGACAAATTTATAGAAATAGTAGATATTGAAAATCATTGAATTGAGGAAGATTTTTAAAAATAAGTGAAATTTTGCTAAGAATTTTATTACTTTTGAAAATAATTGAATTTCTGCAATCATTTGTAACTTCTCCAAAATTCCATTTTTTTAGTGTTTTTAACTTAAAATTTCTAATTAAATTCATTCAAAATTTAAATTTTCTAAAATTTTATATTTAAACATTTTAAGGGGAGACCCCACCTTAATTTTGACCCCTTTAAAATAAAATTATTAAAGGAGGTAATATTTTTTTTCTTGCATCATTTTTAACCTGAAAACATATAAGATGGTCAAAAATATTTAATTTTAATTTTTGAAGAGGTTAGAATTTTTTTCTTCTGACCTATTGCATATTATTGCAAATCCATGCGAGAAGTTGTTTAGAATGGTAAAATATGCATGGAAAAAAATTTTCGTTAAAAAATATTAAAAACTGTAAGAGAAGATCGATTTTTAATATTCAAATCTTTAAATTTTGCCGAAATTTCGAAAGCCGTAAATCTTTAATTTTTTTCCAAATTGTGTATATTTACGTAATTTGATGCTATTATTAAAAAAACATTGTTAAAATTTATATTTAGCTCATTTTCGTGGTAAATTCCATAAAAATCATAGTCCGAAGCTTTTATGGTATACTTTATATATACCGAAATAAATGCAAAAAGCCATGATTTTTATAGTTTTTACCATGAAAATGAGCTAATCGTCAATTTTAACTATGTTTTTTCGACTCAGAGCATCAAATTGGAAAAAAATAAAGGTTCAGGACTTCCGAAATTTCGGCAAAATTTAAAGATTTGAATATTAAAAATCGATCTTCTCTTACAGTTTTTAATATTTTTTCACGAAATTTTTTTTCCATGCATATTTTACCATTCTAAACAACTTCTCGCATGGATTTGCAATAATATGCAATAGGTCAGAAGAAAAAAATTCTAACCTCTTCAAAAATTAAAATTAAATATTTTTGACCATCTTATATGTTTTCAGGTTAAAAATGATGCAAGAAAAAAAATATTACCTCCTTTAATAATTTTATTTTAAAGGGGTCAAAATTAAGGTGGGGTCTCCCCTTAAAGTTCAACTAAGATTTATGAAAATTATAAATGCAACTCTTTAAAAATTGAATTAATTTTGAAATATTTAAGTAAAATTATTCATTAAATAATTTGTTAGTAATTCCCTGAATTCCTTGACCTGTGGCAACCCTGAAGAAAGAATAATTATTCTTTTCACCAACTTTTGTAAAGAAACAAATTAAAACTAATTTTAAAATATATAAAAAAAGTGATATTTCTAAATCGATAATAACGTTTGCAGGAAAAGACGGCTATGACATTCGAAAGCAAGAGGAAGTGCTACAGGAATCATTAATGATGGTTCCTGATTGTCAACGTCGTCTAGCAAAAGCGTACGAGGAATTGAAAAAAATTCTCGAAACCGAGGAGGATCTTAAGGAGTCAGAAACTTATATTGAAGCGCAAAAAATTCTCGAGGACTCAGCAAGTCAATTACCGAAAGAGGGAGAATTATTGCCATTGTGATAATCTTGTCGATATTACGTTTTATTATCAAAAGTTAACGCTTAAACGAAAACAGAAACACTTTTGATACACTATTTTTTTAATTACTATCATTATTATTTTTACACCGATTAACAGAAAAATATTACCAGAAAGAGGAAAAGAATTAATCAATAAGAACAAAACTTATTAATTTATCTCATTTATCTAAACGTAATCATGTTTAATTACAATTATCCCCCAGGACCAAATCCTGGTTATTCAGGTTTTCCCTTTCCTCCCCCATTTCCAATCAACTATCCCCAGAATTTTCTCCCACCACAAAATTTCGTCCCAAATTTGTTTCCCTCTTCTTCATTTCAAGAAAATTTCCAAAAACCTTCAATTAATTTATTGACAAGAAAGCGAGATGCGGAATTTATAAATAATTTCATCGATAACGAAGAAAATCCGTGTCAATTGAAAACTACCGAGAAGGAATTACCAAAAATATCAGAAATTAATGAAGCTGTACGAATTATTTACAAACTGAATCAATCAATAAAAAGTATTTGCACTGAAATGAAGTATAAAAATTTACCTGACAACGAGTGGCAAACGAAAATGGAAATAGCGAAAAATTTGAAGAATCAAGTAGAAACATTGTCAATTATGTTTGAGGACGAAAAATTTATGGAGACAATGAAACGTAAATTGTCGAAACGAAAGAAAAAGCGTTTGCGAGAAAAAAGAAAACGCGATGCGATTCGTAATGAAAATAAAGAGAGACGTGAACGATTAAATGTTGAAATTGATAATTGGATTAAAAAGAAACAGGATTTAATTGCAAGGGAAAAACAAGAGGAGATATTGCGTAAAGATGCGGATATTGTACTTGCCGATGTTCGTGGTAAACGAAGTGATGCAAAAAAATTCTCCTCACTTTTAAAGGAAATGCAAAATTTTCGTAATGTTAAAGTCAAAATTGCTCGAGCACGGGGTGAAAATTTCCCTCAAGCGGCCGATCAAGCATTCAACAATATCATTGGTATAGTAAAAATTGTTTTACATTTCTATGTTTTTAATCAACTATACGATTTCAATTAATTTCAATTTAATTCTTTTGATTTTATTTATTTTCTTAATAAAATAAATAATGTAAAACTAATTAAATTAAGTATAAATATTTTAAATTATGTATTGTTAACAATATACATAACAATATATTGTTTAAAATTATTTTATTTTATAAATAAAATAATTAAAAAAATAAAGTTAAATTATTATTTTCAATACAATTTAAATAAAATTCAATAATCAAATTTTTAATTATAATTATTGACTGACATGATTATTTTAAAGTGTTGAAAAAAATTCTTTGATTAATTCAAGTATTTTCAAAATTTATATTCAATTTATTTAAAAATAAAACTTTATTATTTTCAAAAAACAAAAAGAAATTCTACAAAAGAATTTAATTTTCTATCAATAATTTTAGTAACATTTAATAGTAAAATTATGAATTACAATTATTAACAAAATCGATTATATTAAAAAAATTATATAGATATTTTTTGACAGAATTGAATTATTGTCTAAACCTTTAATAGTATCTATTCTTTGAAAAAATTTAATTATTTTCAATATTTTAATAAAATAATTAAAGTGTTTAATTTCAATTATTAACAAACACGATTATTTTAAACTTTAAAGACTTGAAAGAATTTATTTATAAAATTCAATTACTTTCAAAATTTTCAATTACAATTATTAAAGGGACTCCATTATTTAAAAAAAAATCCATAAACAAGAAAATTCTTCCAAGGAATTCAATTATTTTCAAATTTTTTGATAAAATTCTTCGCAAGAATAGAAAATAATTGCTTATGACAAATTTTATTAATTTTTCAAAGAAATTGAAATAAAGTTGCATTGAGGATAATTGAATTCTTATAAAGAATATTATCAAATTTTTAAAAATAATTCAATTCATTTGAGGAATTTAATTAAAATTGCATTAATAATAATTGAACTTTTGTAAAAATTTTTGTTTATATTTTCAAAACTAATTGAATTCATTCGAAGAATATTGTTGTTAGTGATAATAATTTAATCTTTGAGAAAAAATTTAATATTCATAAAAATAATTAAATTCTTGTTAAAGATTTTATTAAATTTCTTTTAAAATAATTGAATTCCAGAAAAGGATTTCATTATTTATAAAAATAAATGAATTTGTTAAAATTTTTTTAAATAACTGAATTCCTGAGAAAGATTTCATTATTAATAAAAATAATTAAATTTGTTTGAAGAATTTTATTAATAATGAAAATAATTGAATCTTTACAAAGAATTTTAATCAAATTTATGAAAAATAATTGATTTCCTGCGAAGAATTTTATTATTAATGAAATAATTGAATTCTTTAGAAGATTTCTACTAAAATTTATGCATGTAATTAAGTTTGTTAAAATAATTGTGTTATTATTAAAAATAATTGAATCTTTGTGAAAAAATTTAATACAATTTTTGAAAATAATTGAATTCCTGCGAAGATTTTTATTATTTATAAAAAAATAATTAACTTCCTACGAAGAATTTTATTATTTACAAAAATAATTGAATTTCTTCAAAGAATTGTATTAAAATTTTTGAAAATAATCAATAATATTTAGTTAATTAATTTAATTAGTGAATTCTTTTAAATTTTGAATCCGTTGTTATTGAAAAATTCAAATTCAAACACCAAAAACCTGAATTTTTGTAGTAATTCTGAAAATTTGATATTTTTCCAGTATTTTTTGATAAAATTCACTGATATTTTTCTAATTTCACTGACCATTTTTATTTTCCCTGATTTTTTTGGATTTTCCTGTGACTTATGGCAAACTTTTTATTGTTGATAGTAAAATTTACTTTTTGTTCATAGTAAAATTCACTTTCTATTCATTATAAAATTTACATTATAATTATATCAAAATTTACTTTATATAATTATAGCAATATTTTACTTTCTGTTTATGAAAAATTATTGTATTTGTTTTTTAGGCAAACTTGTTGAACACTGGACGGCGCTAGATCGAGAATATTCTCTCGAGGAGCAAGGATTAAAATTAATGATACAAACTGACAATGAAAAAAAGGAAGAAACAAAAAAGATGCACGCTTTCAATAATTGGGAGCAAATTCTCTTTGGACAGCGATTGCCAAAAAATGCTTTTCTTCAAAATAATCTTCTAAACTTCGTAACAATCAGGTAAATACAATTAATAACAATATAGTAATTATCATTAATAGTATTACAAATAATAATCACAATAACAATAATAATTTCAATATTCTTATTATTAATATTATTATAATTATTATTATTTTAAGATTAAAATAATATTAATGACAAATTTGAAAAAGATATAGAATCAGCTTTGAAAAAATGAAAAAATCTCAAAGAAAAATGTTTTTGATATAATAAAAACTTACAGGACAATGTGGGACAAATTCTATGACACAAATGGAAAACCAATTCCAATGGGATGGGTGGTACCTGTTCCTCCTTCATCAGCCGCGTGGCAAACACTTCTTAAAAAGTCCTGAACGCTTAATAGGAACTTTAAATTAATAAATTGCGATGATTAATTAATTTTTTAAACATGTCATTAATTTGTATTTTTCCGTGTTGTATTTAATTCACTATATTTACTAAATTGTATTTTCATTACTTAAACGTTTAAAAATAAAGTTTTTCTCTCTTTTTTTTATTTTAAAAACTATATGTACAGATTTTTAATTTTTAATTTAGAAAAAAAAGATCTAATTACGATATACTTAGGACAAGATTCTTCTGTGCGGCACTCGATGGTTCTAAATTTGGAGGATCGATTGAAGTTGTTGTCGTTAATGTTTCAGCAGCCGATAAAATCATTTGCAACGGTCCTTGTAATTCAGTTAAAGTCACTGTTAAATCCTCTTCCTCCTCCAATTTTTTCGAGAGAAGATTAAACATTGTTCTTGGCTCTGAGCTTAGTTCTTCTAAATGATCCTCGTAGATGTCTGAATAATAATTAAATAAAATTAAATTCGATTAAAATTAAAGTATAAATTATGAATTAAGAATAAAATAATTAATAATAAAAATTAATTCAATTAAAAATAAAAGAGTTAATAAAAATTAATTATTAAGATTAACAAGAATTATATAATACTAGCAAATTCGACTATTTTCAAAAATTGTAATATAAATTCAATTTTTTCGACAATTTTAATGAAATTCTTTTTAAAAAAATCATTATTTTCAAAATCTTTAATAAAATTCCTTCAAAAAATTCAACTATTATTTTCAAAAATTCAGATAAAATTCTTCGAAACAAATTCAATTATTTTTATGAATTGTAAAATCCTTCGCAAAAATCCAATTATTTTCATAAAAAAAAATTCTTCGCAAGATTAAAATATTTTCATAAACAATAAAATTCTTCAAAGAAATTCAATTATTTTCATAAATAATAAAATGTTTCAGAGGAATTCAATTATTTTCAATACAATTTTAATAAAATTTCTCGAAAGAATACAATTATTTTTCAAAATATTATTTAAATTCTTCTGAGAAATTCAATTCTTTTAAATACAATTTTAATAAAATTTTTAGGAAAAAATGCAATTATATTCAAGATAATTTTAATAAAATTTCTCTATCAGGTTCAATTATTTTTAACCATTGCAATAAAATTTTTCTAAACAATTCAATTGTTCTCAAAAGTTTTTAATAAAATTCTTTGTAAATTTCAATTATTTTCAAAAATTTCAATTGAAATTACTTTAAAAAAATACATTATTTTTACGAAATTTAATTAAATTCTTAAAAAAAATGTAATTATTTACAAAAAGTCTAATAAAATTGTTAAAAAGAATTTAATTTTCTTTGAATAATTTTAATATAGTTTAATATGAAAATTATTAATTACAATTAATAATAAACACTTTTATTTTAAAAACTTAAAAGAAAATCGTCATAAAATTCAATTAATTTCAAAACTTTCAGTAAAAATTATTTTAAAAAACTCTATTATTTTCACGAATATTGAAATAAATTCTTCAAAACAATTCAATTATTTTAAAGAATTCTAATAAAAATCTTTCCAAGAATTAAACTATTTTCAATACAAATTTAATTACACTTTCTCGAAAGAATTCAATTATTAAAAAAAGTGTTGATAAAATTCTTGTAATGAATTCAATTCTTTTCATATTTTTCTACAAATACTTTACAAGAATTTAAATATTTTCAGTACATCAACAATCTAATTATTTCTGAAAATAATTGAATTCTTGAATAGAATTTTATTAAAACTTTTTTAAATAATTGAATATTATTAATATTTTTAAAAATAATTGAATTTTTGCAAAATTTATAAAAATATGTGAATTTTTTAGAAGAATATTATAAAAATTGTATTTTAAATAATTGCATTCCAGAGAAAAATTTACCATTTATTGATATTGTTGAATTCTGTCGAAGAATTTTAAAAAAATGTAATAAATTCTATTTAAAATAATTGAATTTCAGCGAAAATTTCATTATTTTTAAAAGAATTGAATTCTTGGATTGAATTGTGTTAAAATTTTTTTAAATAATCGAACTCATGTAAAAAATTTAATTATTTTCTTAAAATAATTGAATTTTCTCGAAGATCTTTACAAGAATTTTAAATATACATAATTGAAATTTTCGAAGAAATCAATTAAAATTGTATTGAAAATAAATGAAATCCTGATAAGAATTTTATTACTTATAAATTGACTTTTTGCAAAGAATTTTATTACAATTATTGAAAATAATTGAATTCTTCATAAAATTCAATTACTTTCAAAATTTTCAGTAAAAATTATAAATAAAACTTCATTATTTTCAAGAAAATTGAAATAAATTCTTCAAAGCAATTCAATTATATTAAAGAATTTTAATAAAAATCTTGCCAAAAATTCAATTATTTTCAGTACAATTTTAATGACATTTTCTCGAAAGAATTCAATTATTGAAAAAAGGTTGATAATATTCTTGAAATGAATTCAATTATTTTTAAATTTTTTTATAAATTCTTTACAAGAATTCAATGATTTTCAGTACATTAAAAAATTGTAAACATTTAAAAAGTTAGGAAACAAAAAAGCAAACAGCAACTAACTTCAAACTGCGAACAGATTACCGAAATACAACGATTATTAATATAGTACTAGCAAAAACTGACGCGCGCGAGCGCGCGTGCATTTTTTTTTCAACGTTTTATTTTAAATAATTAAAACTTTATTTTTTCAGCGAATTTGAACCATTATGATGTCACAATTTTTTAGCAAATGCTGTGAACAAATTGTGACGTCATTATGGTTCAAATGCCATTAAAGAAATTATTTCATCTTCTATTAATTAATATATTTTTGCATTTTCTTTTTTTATATAAATAAATTAAAATTTTTATTTATTAATTGAAAATATCTGTTCGCAGTTTATATTTTTTTTTTGTTTAATATTTTAATAATTTTATGTTTTAATATATATATAAATATATTTTTTCTATTAAAATAGCAATTCTTTAAAATGATTATTATTATTTTTAAGGGTATTTTAATTATTATTATGACGTTATAATGTTTTAAATAAATTTAAAAAATGGAAATGCTGGAAAGAATGAAAAATACATTTTTTTTAGAAATATAAAATTATTCAATTAACATCTTCTATCTTTATATCTTCTCTCTATATTAATATCTTCTTCTTCTTCTATCTTCTTTGATTTAGTTGTAATTTACTTTTTTGTTTCCTATCTTCTTTAATAATTTTATGTTTCAATATTTTTAATTTTAGAGGCATTTCACGTCAGAAATATCACGATTTGCAAAGGGTATGCCGATTTTCGCAAAACTTCGTGGGATTATAGTTCTATATAAGAGACTTCTTTCCCCTAAATTTTTTCAAAAAAATTCAAAATTGTTGAAGATACGCCATTTTGAATTTTAATATTAATTTTATAAAATTTTGAATATCTCGGAATATTGTTTATGGATTTTTATGAAATTTACACATTTTTCAGGTAAAAGTATGTACTTTAAAATGCAAATAAAGTTAATAAAAAAAAATTAATTTTTAAATAAAAAAATTAAAAAAAATTTTTTTAAACAATTTTTTGTTTATTTACTCCTCTCTGAGAAAAATGTTATTAACATATTTGGATTCCTTATGAATTCACCTTTAATTTCATAAAAAAAAATTGATGGAGACTCAACTGGTTCCGGAGATATTGAATTTTTTGTAAAAAAAAGCGTCGCCGCGCCATAGCACCATACTGCACAAGTCGCGTAGTACGTTACCGCAGTCGTGCATTGCTGCTGTAACTATGACTATTTTTTTACAAAAAATTCAATATCTCTGGAACCAGTTGAGTCTCCATCAATTTTTTTTTATGAAATTAAAGGTGAATTCATAAGGAATCCAAATATGTTAATAACATTTTTCTCAGAGAGGAGTAAATAAACAAAAAATTGTTTTAAAAAATTTTTTTTAATTTTTTATTTAAAAATTAATTTTTTTTTTATTAACTTTATTTGCATTTTAAAGTACATACTTTTACCTGAAAAATGTGTAAATTTCATAAAAATCCATAAACAATATTCCGAGATATTCAAAATTTTATAAAATTAATATTAAAATTCAAAATGGCGTATCTTCAACAATTTTGAATTTTTTTTGAAAAAATTTGGGGGAAAGAAGTCTCTTATATAGAACTATAATCCCACAAACTTTTGCGAAAATCGGCATACCCTTTGCAAATCGTGATATTTCTGACGTGAAATGCCTCTTTAATTAAAATTAATATATTGAATTTCATTTAAATTCTTGCAAAAAATTTGAGAATCATTGAATTTCTTCAAAAAATGTCATTATTTATGAAAATAATTCAATTTTCGCTAAAAATCATTAAATCAATTTTGGAAACCCTAATTAAATTTTTCTGAAGAATTATTTTTTATTTTTTGTTTAATAATTGTGTTTCTTTAATAATTTTAATTGGATATTTTTAAAGTAATTTAAATTTATGAACAATTTTTTTCAAGTTTTTAAAACTAATTTTTAAATTTGTAAATTTAGTTGAAACATCTATTGTTTACATTTATCCCTTGTTTACAATTACCCCAAATGGCTCTAATTGTAAATTGATTGTTTTGTTGATTTTTGAATTTTATTTCGGAATAATTCAATTTTTTATTATGTATTTTTCATGATTTGAAGACTTTATATAGTCTTTAAAAGACTTGATAGTATTTAAATAGTTGAAATGAAAGGCGGTGCCTAAAGTATTTTTTTTAAGTTCATTATTTTTTTTTCTTTTTAGAAAATCTATTTTCTATAATATTGTGTTAAAAAAAACGTTAACATTTTATATTTTATTTGAACAGAAGATAACGATAAGTTTAATTCTTGCAAAAGAAAGCACTTATAAGTTAATTCTACACACAAACACACACAGAAATACGTTTATTTTTTACGTAAGTGCCAATAAATTAATTTCAATTTTTTATTTAAAATGAAATAATTTAATTTTGAATTAATTGTATTTTTGATATTTGAATAATTAATTATTATTTTGAACAATTACATTTTTCAATGATTTCAAAATAATTAAATTTTTATTAAAAACAGAATAATTTATTTTTGAATTAATTAAAATTGTTTGATTTATTTTTGAATAATTAATAATTGACTTTTGAATTATTTAAAATTCAAATATTGTAAAAAATTAATAAAATATTTAAAAAAACAATTTATTTTTAACATAATAAAAAAAGTAATTTATTAAAATACTAAATTCAAATAGATTTTGAATTGCAATTATTTTTAAAAATAAATAAATTTTTTGTGTAAAATCATTTTTTTAAAATTAATTAAAATTTGAAACAATTGAATTTTTTTTTTTCATTTTTGAAAAATTAATTATTTCGAACAATTTTTTAAACATAAAAGAACCAGGAGCTATTATCACTCATAATAGCAATCAAAAAAAGCACACACTAAAGGGATCGCTCTTCCCAAAAAATTTAGACTCTAGATCCTGCACTGTATAAGTTAATAATTGAAGATTAATTAAATTTTTGAAAAATTAAATATTAAAAAATTAATTATTTTGAATAATTAATATTATTGAATAGTAATTTACGAAAACGACCAATGTAATAAAATTTAGAACGATATTTTTTATTGATTCAGGAAAATTGAATTTTTTAATTAAAATTAATAATCGTTGAAAATTGAAAATAATACAACTTTTATTGACAATTCGATATTTCAGTTTTTTTAGATTTTAAAAATGCATAAAATTTTCAATAATAATAATAAATCAAAATACAATAAATATTATCAATTATAATTATAAATAAAAAAAAATAATAATAATAATAATAAGATATACGAATAAAATTTGTTTTTAAGTTATTTTGAGATTTTTATTTAACAAAATAAAATGAAATAATATAAATGATTTAATTAAGAAGAAAATTTTAATTAATAATTAGAATTTACCAATCTACAGTTTTTTTTCCACTGAAAACGGTAACCTCTCGCCTGATACCAGATATTTTTCCACGATTTTTCAAACACAATAATTCTTGTCACAATTTAACGTTTTTTAAAAACACCCGCACTACCGCATAACATAACATCGGAAATGTCAAAACATCACGAAAAATATAAACAAACAAAAAAATCATGATAATAATTCGCAAATGATAACTAACAACTAACTTCATACTGCGAACGGACAGAATGAAAAACCACAGACTTTAATAAAGTTAATACTAGCACAAATAACGCGCGCTAAGGCGCCAAAAAATTAATTAATATTTTTCTAAATTTATTCAGGGAAATCAGGAAAAAGTCAGAAAATTTTGTCAAAAATGCTGGAATAATATTCAATTTCAAGAATTCATAAGAAAATTCTGAATGTTATTCTTCAACATTGAAAAGATTTTATATATTTCAAACTCTTCCTGTTTTTAACAATAATTAGACTTTACAGATTTAAAATTGATTTTCTTAAATAATTTAATTTTTGAAAAACTATCGAGAAAAAATTATTTTTTATTAATTATTTTGGAATAATTTTTTATTTAAAAATTAAAAAAATAATTGAATTTTATGAAATTTGTATTTAAAATTTTTTTATAATAAATAATATAAATAAAAGTAGTAAATGTCACGCCCGCCAAACAAAGTATTTAATTTATTATTATTATTATCATTACTCAAAAGAAATTCGATTATCTTTACAAAATTTCAATAAAAAATTCTTCGAAAAATTTATGAAAAATTACAAAAATGTTATCTTTTGAAATTATTACAGGTGACAACTAAAAAAACGCGCGCTAAAGCGCGCGTGTAGTTTCTCCTAGTATTAATAGATAATTAATAATAATGCCTATTATTAATTCAAAAATTAAAAAAAATTTCGTTAAAAATTGAAATTTACAAAATATATCACTGCTTTGCTAACTTTGCATAAAATTTCATATTTGTGCCTTCAAAAAATGAATTTAAAAATGTTTTGATAAAATTCTTTATCAGACTTAAATTTTAAGAAATTTTAATTATTCAATAAATTATTTATTTTTGCATTTAAATTATTGAATTCTCTAATAAAAATTTATTTCAAAATGAATTTCAGTTAAAGGTCTACATAATAATTGAATATTAAAAGCATTATAGCATGAATTTTAAGAAATAATTAAATTTTAAAATGGTTCCAAATCAAATTCTTTAAAAATTTGTATTTTTCATACTTATAACTAACAATTCTGTAGAATTAATTATTTTAAAAAAGTTTAATTGAATTTTTTTTTGAAATTATTTGAAGTATTTATTTTTTAATTCGTTTTTAGTTGAAGAATTTCTGAATAATTTAAATTTCGTAAACAAATGGATTTTAAAATTCTCAAAGAACTTTTTTCAAAAATTATTAAAAATAATTTATTCCTGTGGGAAAATAATAATGATTAAAATTTATTTAGAAAAGAAGTTATTGATGTTTTCAAATAATTTTAGAATTAAAGAAATTCGTAAATAAATGTAATGGAACATTTTTTGGAGTATCTAATCATTTTTAGAGTTAATCAGAATATTCTTTAGAGTCAAGAAAGAAGTCAAAATTTTGTCAAGTAATGAAGTTTTTATATTAAAAAAAAGAAAATATTTCACAGGATTTACATTTTTTGTCAATTTTCTAAAATGTTTGTTACAAAATGCTAATTTTTTAGAAACAAAGGAAATAATGAATAATATAATAATTTTTTTAGATTAATAAAAATATTTTTGAATTATTTGAGAAATAAAAATAATATAATATTATTTAATTAAAAAAATAATAATAAAATAAAGAAATGTAATATTATTATCTATCAAAACATATAAAAAACAAAAGCATGAATTATGTTAAAAAATCGTTATTTCATATTTTTTATTTCTATTTTCTATCAAAACGAATAAAAAACAAAAGAATAACCATGACTAACTTCAGGTGTGGACAGACTGGACAGAATGAATGAATGAATACGACGATTATTATAGTTAATTAATAATAATTAATATTACATATTGAAACAAATAATTGATTTCCTGCGAAGAATAATAAGGAAATCCATTATTTTCATATAAATAATAAAATGGTTTGAAGAAATTGAAATATTTTTAAAAATGATAAAATTTCTCTCAGAAATTGAAAATGAATTATATTAAAAATGTGAAGTACTTACCCATGAGTACATTGGTAACGTGAAGAATAACTCGTCCAAATCTAATACTTCCTATGTGTCTGATTAAAAATTTAAGAATATTAACGAGCGATTTGTTTTCTCTTCCGGCGAGGGCCTGCTTCAAACCTTGACGTCGCATTAACTCAAGAAGTAGTGCAACCGTCACGTGTGGTTGTTTATTCATTACGTATGGTTTCATGACTTCGTCAAGAGCTTTTGAGTATTGGAATTTTCTCAAGCACACGTCATATTTTCCCATTATTTGCTTATTCTCCTCACGAACCAATACATCCAAACTTCGCGAATGTAATTTATCGATTGAATATCGAAACGATGATTTCTCACGTTTCTTCTTTACATCCTTTGGATCATCCTCTCGTCTTCTTATCGATATTAAACCATCCACCATTCCCGCCACAATTGTCTCGTCATTTTTCTGCAAATTATTTTTAATTAATAAATAATTTCGTTAATTAATCAGTTTACAATAATCATATCGATTTACAATATTATGTCAAAAAAAGAAAAAAAGTATTACAAATAGTTAATTTTAAATATGATGTAAATACAATGAAATAGTTAATTTTAAGTAAATAAAATTTTAAATATAAAATAAATTTAATGAATACGAAAATATTTACTCTTTTTTGGAAACTTACACTGATGCCTAAACTAAGAACTGAATTTGGATAATCTAAAGTGTGGACAGCTTTATAAGTTCCGATGTCATAGACTTTCACGTGTCTATCCAGAGAACCGGAAAGAATTTTGTGTCCATCTGAAGCGATCGTTAGGCAAGTTATCGTTTTATGATGATTTGACATTCTCGCCAATAATTTCCCACCCGTGAGTGTATCCCATACTTTTATTTCTGTTCCACCTGTAAAAAAAAAATGAATCGATAAAATATTTTCAACAATTTTCAGAATATTTTTCAAGAATTTAATAATTTAGACACAACAAAACTCAACTATATTTCTAAAAATTGTAACTGTAATTTATTCTTGTGTTTTTAAGATTTATAATTGTTTTGAAAACTTTTCAAATATTTTCGGGAATTCAATTATCTTACAAAAAAATGTAATTAAAATTTTTTCGAAAACCTAAATTATCAGAATTTTAAAATAAGGTACGCACTCAAAACTTCAATAATTTTGTTATAAAAAAGTATTTAAATACTTATTTGTTTCTCGATAAAAATTAATTTTATTTAAATTTACAGGGTTGCCACAAAAATTTAATTTTGGTTATCCCTGATTTCCAGACAAAATTTTCATTTTTTCCTGGACCCAAAATAATAACTTGTTTTTTAAATAAATATTAAATCATTATTATTTTTCCCTAGAAATTAAAATTTTCAAATTCAAACCTCTTTGACATCCAATAACAAATAAGAATATTAGAAAACTTTCTTAGAATTATAAATTAAACTTAAAATGCTTTCTTCATTTTTAAATGAATTTTTGTTAGAAAATTCTACGGGAATTCGATTATTTAACTACAATAATAAATAATTCATTGAATAATTGAATGTTTCTTAAAATTGAATTTTCATAAAGAATTTTATTAACAAATTTAAAAAAAATTGAATTCTATCAACGAATTTTAATAAACTTTTTCCAGAAATTCGATTAAAATTGTATTAAATAAAAATAATTGAAATTCTGAGATGAGTTTTATTATTACAATATATCATGAATCCCTGTAAAAAAATTTTATTATTTATGAACATAATTGAATTATTGCGAAGAATTTTATAAATAATTTTTAAATAATGGATTTTAAAAAAAAATGTAAACCAATTCTTTTTTAAATAATTAAATTTCCTGTAAAATTTTTATTATTTATGAAAGTAATTCAATTTTTGGTTAGAATTTTATCAAATTTTTTTTTTAAATAATTTAATTCGTTTAGGAAACATTACAAATATTTATGAAAATAATTAAAATTTTGCAAAGATTTTTGTTAAAATTATTAAAAATGATTGGATTTTGATGAAGAATATTGCTATTTTTAAAGATAATGGAAATCTTAACAAGAATTCAAGCAGTTTTGAAAATAATTGAATGTTTGCGTAGAATTTAATCAACATTTTTTAAAAATAATTTAATTAATTTGTGAAATGTTATCAAATTAGATATATTATAAAAATAATTAAATTGAAAAAATATTTTTTTAAATTATTGAAATTTTGCAAAGATTTTTATTGAAATTATTAAAATGATTGAATTTTGACGAAGAATATTGCTATTTATAAAGATAATTAAAATCTTGACAAGAATTTAAAAACAATTTTTTAAAAAAATTGATTTTCTGACCAGAATTTTATTAGTTTTGAAAATAATTGAATTCCTAAAAAGAATTTTATTTTTATCAAAATAATTAAATCCCTGTAAGAAAATTTTATTATTTATGAAATTATTTGAATTATTGCAAAGAAATTTTTATAAAAACTTTGTAAATAATAGAATTGCCTGTAAAATTTTTATTATTAATGAAAATAATTGAGTGTTTGCGTAAAATTTTATTGAAATAAGTGATTTAATTTTGGGAAATTTCATTAGAATAGATATTGAAATTCATAAAAATGGGAAATATTTTTGAAAATAATTGAAATTTTGCAAAGATTTTTATTAAAATTATTAAAAATAATTGAATTTTGACGAATAATCTTCATAAGGATAGTAATTGAAATCTTGACGAAAATTTAAATAATTGAATTTCTGTTAAGAACTTTTTTAGTTTTGAAAATAATTGAATTCTTGTGATGAATATTGTTATTTATGAAAATAATTGAATTTCGCAAAGATTTTTGTTAAATTTCCTGAAAATAATTGAATTTCAGGGAAGAAAAAAAAATATTAAATATATATTAAAAAACTATACTAATTTCAACAGAATTGAAATGACATATTTTCGAAAAAATTAGTTCTACAGAATTATTAATTAAAAGTATGAAAAATTCATATTTTTCAAGGATCTGAATTTGAAACCTTTTGAATTATTTCTAAATATTGAAGTAACATTATTTATTTGTTTATTTCAAGTGTCAATTATTCATTAAATAATTTATGAGTAATAATTTTATGATAGTTCTTTAAGAATTAAGTTATTTAAAATTAATTATTGTCAGAAATATAAAAAATTGAAGGTTTTGTATTTGAATTCGTGGTAAAAATTTTATAGTTTATGTGGCAAACAAAAAAGAAACAAAAATTCAGAATAGTTAAAAAAAATAGCGTAAAAATCGTAAAAGTCTATCCAACATTTGTAAAAAGAAAAAAGAAATCAAATGTTCTTACCAGCAGAGAGAACAATTCCGCCCGATGGCAAAAACAAAACACTTTCCACCGGTGAATCATGATTGACGGTAAATATTTTTTTATTCGTCCTCGTGTCGTAGAGATTAACAGTACGATCGTAACTCCCAGAAGCAAAAATATCAGGAGACACAGGACTCACTGCACCTGCTCTTATATAATCCGTATGCTCGTCAAATGACAATATTTGTTTTTCACTCGGTATATCCCATAGTGCTGTCGTTTTATCATCGGAAAATGATACAATGTGGATTCCATCGGCAGTGAAGAATGTCCGATGTACCGGCGCCTTATGACCGGCAAATAATCGTAAAAGACTTCGACTACTCACATCGAATAATTTAATTGAAGCCTCCTCACCACCCGCGCAAAGTAATTTACCATCCTTACGAAATGATCCACCGTAAGCTGATTCCTTAAATCGACTGAGATTTTTTGTCACCAATTTTGTTATTGGATTGTAAACTTGTACTCGTACCGAGCATGTCACTGCAAAATGATACGGTTCAGCCGGTGAAAAATCAATGTAATCAATTGGACCGAATTCCTTCACTAATACTGGAGCCTGCAAATTATAAAAATTCCTTACAATTTGCCTCACTGTCAAAGAAATTTATTTCTAAAGTTGAAATTTTCGTTGCCATTGTTATTTTAAGGTTTCTGAAGTTGGCATCGATGCTCAGCATCGAAATATATTTTTTCTAATATTTATTGATAAAATTTTAACTAATTTCACTACTTTCATTCACCTTGAAAGAAAAAACAATTTGAAAAGTACTTTTTTAACTTTAAACCTTGAGAAAAATCACGTAATTTTTTTCGATTTAGTGCAAAAAATATTTTTCGATGCTGAGCATCGATGGCAACTTCAGGGACCTTTATTTTAAAAGATCTGCTTTTTGAAATTTAATGAAAATTTTTCATTTTTTAGAAAACATAATTTTTCTAACAGTTTTTCTTTAAATTTAATTATTTGAACAACTGGTTTAGAAATCGCCAAGATATTTTTAACAGCAACTTGAATGTAAGATATTATTGATTAAATAATTGAACTTTCCAGTGGTACCTGAGAACCACTGGAAAGTTAAATTATTTTTCAAAATTTTTTTTTTAAATTCAATTATTTTCCAAATTTTCAATTAGAATTTTTCAAAAATACGATTATAATTCAAAATAATTTTTAAAAGTAAAGTAATAAGATCCATTAAAGTATTCAATTTATTTCAATGAAATTTGACAAAATTTTCAGTTGATTCAATTTTTTAAAATTATTTTTGTAAATACAATTATTTTTAGAAAATTTTTATTTCATTTTTTCAAGAAACAATTTTTCGGAATTTCTGAATTAAATTATTCAAAACTTCAATACTTTTTGTTAAAAAAAATTAAAAACTTATTCTTATTTATTTTTCATCATTAAAATTTCATCCTAATTTCAATGAAAAACCTTTTGAAATTTAATTATTTCTAAAAATTGCAATTGCAATTCTTCCAAAATTCAATTATGTTTTAGAATTTTTGAATTAGATTATTAAAAACTTTAAGAATTTTTCAAGAAAAATAATATAATTAATAATTTTTGAAAATAAAAATTTAAATATTTTTATACTTTTGCTTCCCTTAAATTTTCAAGGAATTTAATTTAAAAACGTTTAAAATTTAATTAATTCCTAAAATTCTTGTTATAATGCTTTAAATATTCAATTAATTTGTAAAATTTTAACTGAAATTTTTTTTAAATCAATTGCTATCAGAATTCAACGACGAGAATTAAATTATATTTAAATAGAATAATTTTCGTAAATCCATAGAATAATGTATTTTCAAAAATAAAATTATAGTTAAAGATAATTTATAATGATGAAAAAGTAAAATTATTTAAAATACAAAATTTTACAAAATTTCCAAGTGTTTCAATTTTTTAAAATTATTTTCAGGTATTCAAGTATATCTTCAAAAAATTTTAATAACTATTTTTCAAAAATCTAATTTTTTTTCAGAATTTCCAAATTACATCTTTCAAATAAATAAATTATCTTCAAATAAATGAAAAAATCTTTTGCAGGAATTTACTTAGTTCTAAAAATATTAAAAATCTTCAAAGGAATTAGGTCATTTAAAAATTTTTTTAATAAAATTCTTTGAAAGAATTAATTTCAAAAGTCTATAATAAAAATCATATCAAAAATTCAATTCTTTTCATTAATAATTAAATTCTTCGCTGCAATGCATTAATTTTGATAAATAATGACCTTCTTTACAGGAATTAAATTATTGTTTTATTATAAATATAATAAAATTCTTTGCAGGGAATAAATTATTTTTTATAAACGTAATAAAAATTTCCGCAGGGATTTAATTATTTTCTCAAACAATTAAAATTTACAGGAAGAATTTTATTATTTCTTTTTAATAATTTAATGCCCACAAAAAATTTTATTATTTATTGAAATAAAATTGAATTTCTGCTTAGAATTTAATAAAATTCTTTGAAAATAATTGAATTCTTGACAAGAATGTTTTTTTTAAATAATTGAATTCTAGCCAAAAATTTTTTTTTTTTTGAAATTCAACTGAATTTCTTCGAAAAAATTTCTCTTTTTTAAAATAATTGAATTCTTGCGAAAAATTTAATTAAAATTATTAAGTTGTATAGAGAACTTTTATTAAAGTAACTGATATTTTGTAAAGTAAAATGAAAAAATAAAATTCTTTAAAATATAAAATTTTACAAAATATCCTATTTTTTCAATTTTTTACAATTATTTTCGGGATTGCAATTTTTTCAAAAATTTCTCAAAAATTTCCAAATTTAACTAAAACCATTAGGAAAATTTTTTATAAAAATTTGAACCGCAAGTCTTACAAAATTCAATTAATTTTTTAGAATTTTTGAATAATATTATTCAAAACTTTTAATTTTTAAGGAAGCTAACAAATTAATAATTTTTTATATTTAAATATTATTTGACTTTTACAGCAATTAGAATTTCAAAGATTGAAATTTAAAAACTTTTTTAAATTTAATTATTTCTCAAGAATCCTACTCTAAATCATAATTCAATTATTTAAATACAAAAATAAACAATTCATAGAATAATTAATTATTTTTAAAAATTGCAACTGTTCCTTTTTATAGTTTTTGAAATTGGAGTGAAATTTTCTTACTCCACCTATTTTATTATTTACAAATTAACTGTCAAACTTTTGACATAACAATTCGAACTGTAAAAGAAAAGATTGGAATATGATTGGAATAAAACAATACTAACTTTATGTGAGGACAGATTATTATTATTATAATATACCTAGGTAATAATAATAATATTTATTAACATTGAAAAATGTTTAGAACTTCTTTTCGATTTGAAAATTGTTTTTATCGAACATAACCTTACTAAACAAAAAGTAAAATATCTGTAAAACAATTCTCTTTTTTCCTTGACGTTTCCATTAAAAGGAATATAAAACAAAAGACTAATTTAAAGCGTAAATGATTAATATTTAATAGACATCTAAATTTTGATTCGAAAGCGTGAAAAATTAGAGGTTATGTACATCCACGTGGTATCAAAATAAAGAATGTTATCGATAATTTTCACTGAAAACACATATATTAATAAATAACTCACCGAAAATTTCTTCCAGTAAATATTATCCGGCGTTAATTCAGGTCCTGCTTTTGTAAAAACTTTAACGTTTGTTTTTTTAAAGGACGCCATGATAAACAAGTGTTGACCGTGTTGACAATCACACGTGTGAAGTTGTATTCAGTTATGACGCAGTACTACCAACCAACAAGTGTCTAATTTTATATTTTTAATCCGATGAAAATTAGTAATAGTAATGTAATAATTATTATTAAATTTTCACACCGTTTTTTTAATAAGGTAAGAATAATATTTATTTATTTACTTATACATGATAAAATGTTAAATAGCTTTAATTTCAAATAAATTTTACTTCCTGAGTTCTTGGACAATTAAGGAGAGTAAATAAACCACTAATCAGAAAAGAGATATTCCCTTGAGATTCTTTTCCGATTGGTTGGTAAACTACCACCCTCTATTTTAATGATTTTTAACGATTTTAATTAGTTGAAAATTCTTCTAGAAGAAATTGACAGTTTTACAGTTTACTCCATTCTTTTTTAGTGTAAAAACTAGCAGTTTATTAGTGTATAAAATATTTTTAAGTGCATTAAATTCATAAATATTGGTAATTTTTGTATTCAAATAGTGTTAATTAAGTGAGGCTTTCTTTTAATTATTAATTTTCTTCTATATTTGTATAAAAAAACATTGAAAAAGTTTTATTTAAAACTAAGAGCACACACGTTTTTTTTTAGATATTTAACGGATCGTTCAAATTTTCTATTTTATACATTTTATACTGTCAACAATTTTGTAAATATACTTTTTGGAATATTAATTTAAAATGATTTTGATTAAAAAAAATAATCTTCAGTAAAAATTTGCAGGTAAATATCATTGTTTCGTTTAAAATTTGTTGAACAAAAGTAGCTCTATTAATTTCTTGAAAAATTTCTACAACAAATTCTCCATTATTTTCTTTGTAAATTGGTCGAAATTGTATTTTTAGCCGACCTTTTGCACTAATTTAAATATTTTTTATGCGAAAAAAACCGTTTTTAAGTAAAGGTTTTATTTTTCGCAAAAGTAACCTCCAAAAAATAAACTCCGAAAAAATAAATATAATTTTTAAATTTCTAAAATTTATATATTATCTATTTTATTTTGTTGATATGTTAATTAATTAATTATTAATAGCCTCTTATAGGAATATTGTAAAATCTTAAATTAATAATCAATAAAAATAAAGTGCATGTTCCGGTTAATAATATTGAAAATCATCGAATTGTTGCAAAGAATTTTATCAAAAAATTTGACAATTATAGAATTCCTTCAAAGCATTTTATTATTTAGAAAAATAACTGAATTCTCAAAAAGAAATTTATTAAAATTTTAAAAAATCCTAGAATTAAACTCTTTTGAAGAATTTCTTTGAATTTTTTTTAAACTAACGAAGTTTCTTTAATAATTTTAATTGAAAATTTTGAAAGCAATTGAATTTTATGAAGAAGAATTTTATTAAAATTGTATTCAAAATAATTGAATTCTTGCGAAGAATTTTACTATTTATTAAAATAATTGAATTGTTCCGAAAAATTTATTAAAATTTTAGAAAATAAGTGAATTTTATGTTAATATTTAAGAATTTAAATTCTTTCGAGGAATTCTATTTAAATTTTTTTGAAAAGAACTGAATTTCTGCAAAGGATTTTACTATTTATAAAAATAAATCACAAGAATTTTATTATTTTTTGACAATAATTGAATTATTTCAATTTTTTTGACGAATATATTTAAAAATTGCATTGAAAGTAATTTAATTTTTACATCGAATTTTTTAAAAATATTTTGAGAATAATTGGATTCTTTTTAAAGAATTTTAAATTCTTGTTGAAATTGAATTTTATGGAAATTTTTGAAAATAATTAAATTCTTTCGTGTAATTTTATTTAAATTGGATTAAAAATTATTTAATTCCTGCAAAGAATTTTAGTATTTATAAAAATAGTTAAATCGTTTCGAAGAATTTATTAAAATTTTAGGAAATAATTGAAATTTATGGAAATATTTAAAAATATTTGAATTCATCCCAGGAATTCAATTAAAATTGGTTTGAAAATAATTGAATTCCTGCAAAGATTTTTACTATTTATAAAATTAATTGAATTCTTGCGAAGAATTTTACTATTTTTTATAAGATTAATTCAATTTTTTCGAAATGTTTTAAAAATTGAATTAGGATTTATTAAAATTTTAGAAAATATGAACAGTAATAATTAATTTTGTACTTAATAAGTGAATTTTTTAAATTTTGATTATGAAATTATTTAAAAAATTGATATTTGTAAATAAAAAATTTTGTATTTTGCATAACAATAATAAATTAAACATCTCGTTCCGCGCGTAACATTTGCTAGTTAATCAATAAAATAAGAATCAATTGTATATTTAATATAATTTACTTTCTTTTATTTTCTGTTATATTTCTAGAAGAATAAAAAATAATAGGGGAAATTTTGCAAAAAGGATCAAAAATGACAAGTAATGAGCAAAGTCTCAATAATTTAGTAAAAAGAATAAAATTACTGGAACTCGAAAATCAGAAATTACGAAAGGAAAATGAAGTGTTGAAGAAAAAATCAAGAACATCGATCAATGATAAGGAAAATAAATCTAATGCCACTGTAAATACGTTGAGTAAAACTTTGCCAAATTTCAACAACAATAAATCAAAAGGTTGCACGTGCAAAGGAAATTGCTCCAATAAAAATTGTGGTTGTATGAAAAGAAATTTTCGCTGTAATGAAACCTGTAAATGTAACGCTGCTTGTTGTAAAAATAAGGTACGTATTTTTTTTAATAAATAGAAACATTCAAGATTTTTTTTCTTAAAGTAAAAATATTTATTCAGGGTTGCCACATGTCAGAAAAGTCAGGGAAAGTAGAATTAGTCAGAGAAATCAGGGAAAAGTCAGAGATTTTCATTAAAAGTACTGAAAAAAATAAATTTTTAGAATTTATAAGAAAATTCTGAATTTTAGTATCTTTTTTGATTGCCTCATAGACTATATAAAATTATCACGAATTCTAATACGAAACCTTATTCAATTTTTCTATTTCTGATAATAATTTCTTTGTAAATAACTTAATTCTTGAACAACTATCATAAAATTCAAATTCTTTTGAATTTAGTTAAATTTTTTAATATATATTTAATCAGTTATTAAAAATAATGGATTTATAGAAGAATTTTAGTTAAAAACACTAAAAAATGGAATTTTGGAAAAGTTACAAATGATCGCAGAATTTCAATTATTTTTAATTCAATTTTAATTGAATACCCCGAAAAATGCAATTATTCATAAAAATTTTATTAAAATTCGTCAAAAGAATGCAATTATTTAAAAATTCAATTTTTAAGAAACATTTAATTATTCAATAAATTATTTATTTTTGCATTTAAATAATTGAATTGAAATTATGTAAATTATTTTGAAGAAGTTACAGTAACAATACCTATTCTTATAATATAAAATAATGATTTTATCACTCGTCGATCATCTTTAATTATATTATAATTTGTTGAATTTCAGAAAGGTTTGAATTTGAAATTTTTGAAAATCTTAATTAAGATTAATTACTATCTTACTTAATCTGAATTAAAATAATAATGATTAAATATTCATTTAAGAATAAAATTATTGATGTTTTCGAATAATTTTACAAATAAAGAATTTCGCAAATAAATGTAATAGAACATTTTTTTTAAGTATCTAATAATTTTGATAGTGAATCAGAATATTCTTTAGGATCAGGAAGAGTCAAAATTTTGTCTGGAAATCAGGGAAAATTTAGGGAAAAAGAAAATTAAATTTTTGTGGCAACCTTGAAATAGAAAAATTCACAATTTTTTTTTCTTGTAAAAATATTTATTATTTAAAAATAAAAATATAATTTTTCTTTTTCTTTTTTATTAAAAGGAGAAGAACAAGAAAAATCTTGATGTCACTCGTGCGCAGGCAATTCCATTGGGACGGAAAAAGTCTCTAGAGAACCAAAATGTAAAAATATCGAATGAAATCTCAAAACATAATAATATTGAACTAAGAGAGAAAAATTCTCATCAGGAACCAATGCCAACGTGTTCATATAATAATAATGATAATGATGATGATTATGATTATGAGATTGAAGATCATGATGATGACGATGTTTTTCACTATACAGCCACAAATTCAAATTTAGAAAATCCCCAAATAAATGCAGTGAAAAAATTAACGTTCATCTCCGATGAGGACACACTCGACGGAAGAAACATTGAATTATCAGCAATTGAGGAATTGGAAGAACACGAACAATCAACGACTGTATTACACAAAAAAGATAAAAGCGACAAAAATAAAAAATCAACCACCGAACTAGAAAAAAATTCAAAGCAAACAAAAAAGAAAGATTCAAACAAAAATGATACGAATTCAAAAAAGTCGAGAAAAAATTCCAATTCAAAAAGAATTTTATCCGATGACTTGGAAATTGAAAATCTACCAACAATCTCTAATGTAACATTACGTTCACGACATAATAAAAGAACAAATAAAGAAAAAGGGGATACTTTAAATCTCGAGAGTATAAAATCAACCGGAGTGACATCGTGTATAAAAAGTATTTCAAAGAAAACGGGAAATTCTGATACTTCATTAAATAATGATTGCACTCTACCATCGTCATCGACATCGTGTATAAAAAGTATTTCAAAGAAAACGGGAAATTCTGATACTTCGTTAAATAATGATTGCACTCTACCATCGTCATCGAGATTAACAAGAAATCATCGAAATAATGTCAATTCATCGCGGACTATTGACACTGATTCCAAGAAACAATCGAAATTGAGACGATCATCATCCAGTGAATTAATTTCTCGTGAGCAGGATAATAGAAAAGTGAGGACAAAAATTAACAGATCGAGGAGTGCGTCACGAGAGAGTTTAACTAATGAAATTGATGAAAATACGAGAAAAAGTTCCCATCGTTCTTCATCGGCTGATAGTTTAGTAAAGAGAAAATTTCTTCCTTCCGGAAAGAAGGAAGTGCCAGTGGCGCAAAGTTCTACAGTTTCACAGTCATTGAATAATGCCGATAGTCAGAAGTTGACGATAAAGACTTTAATAGAATCGCCCGTGGTTACTAATTTAAATAATTCCGATGAGAATGCAGATCAGGTAAAAAAAAATCTATTTGTACATTTTTTCTAAAAAAAAAATTACTACCTATAAATAATAAAAGCAATTTATTATTTGTAGAAAATATTTTACTTCTTTTGAAGAATTTTTAATTTTTACATTCTCATGAAAAAATAAGAGAAGGTCTTAGATTTTTTAAAAGAGTAATTGAATTGTTTCGAAAAATTTTAATAAAATGATATTGAAATAATTAAATTCCTACAAAGAATTTTATTAATTATGAAAATAATTGAATTCTCTTGAAGAAATTTGTTAAAAATTTTGAGAATTATTGAATTCCAGGAAAGAATTTGATTATTTATGAAAATAACTGAGATTCCATTAAAAACTTTATTATTTATAAAAAAAAATGTAATTCCTTTGAAGAATTTTATTAAACATTTTGAGAATATTTTAATTCAAGGAAAGAATTTTGTAACTTATAAAAAATATTTCAATTCCTCTAAGGAATTTTAATTAATTATTAAAATAATTGAATTCTTTGAAAGGAATTTATTGAAACTTTTGAGAATAATTGAATTCTCTTGAAGAATTTCATTATTTCTAAAAATCTATTTAAATTATTTTACAGAGTTTTAATGAAATTTAGAAAATAATTGAATTCTCTTAAAGTATTTTATTATTTGTAAAAAATATTTCATATCTTTTGAAAAATTTTTATTTTTTTAAGAAAGTAATTGAATTGTTTCGATAAATTTTAATTAAATTATATTAAGATAATTAAATTCCTGTAAAGAATTTTATTAATTTTTAAAATAATTGAATTCTCTTGAAGAATTTTAATATAAATTTTGAGAATAATTGAATTCAAGAGTAAAATTTTATTATTTATAAAAATAATTGAATTTTTGTGAAGAACTTCATTATTTACAAAAAAATTGAATTCTTTTAAAGAATTTTATTAAGAATTTTGAGAATATTTTAATTCAAGGAAAGAATTTTGTAACTTATAAAAAATATTTCAATTCCTCTAAGGAATTTTAATTAATTATTAAAATAATTGAATTCTTTGAAAGGAATTTATTGAAACTTTTGAGAATAATTGAATTCTCTTGAAGAATTTCATTATTTCTAAAAATCTATTTAAATTATTTTACAGAGTTTTAATGAAATTTAGAAAATAATTGAATTCTCTTAAAGTATTTTATTATTTGTAAAAAATATTTCATATCTTTTGAAAAATTTTTATTTTTTTAAGAAAGTAATTGAATTGTTTCGATAAATTTTAATTAAATTATATTAAGATAATTAAATTCCTGTAAAGAATTTTATTAATTTTTAAAATAATTGAATTCTCTTGAAGAATTTTAATATAAATTTTGAGAATAATTGAATTCAAGAGTAAAATTTTATTATTTATAAAAATAATTGAATTTTTGTGAAGAACTTCATTATTTACAAAAAAATTGAATTCTTTTAAAGAATTTTATTAAGAATTTTGTGAATATTTTAATTCCAGGGAAGAATTTTGTTATTTATAAAAAACATTTCAATTCTTCTAAGTAATTTTATTTAATTATTAAAATAATTGAATTCTTTTGATGAACTTTAATAAAAATTTTGAGAATAATATTGAATTCTCTTGAAGATTTTCATTATTTGTAAAAAAAAATATTTCAATTCTTTTAAAGACTTTTAAGATTATTTGGAAAATAATTGAATTCTCATAAAAAAATATATTATTTATAAAAAATATTTCAATTCTTTTAAAGCATTTGTAATTTTTAAATAAAAGTAATTGAATTGTTTCGAGAAATTTTAATGAAATTATTAAATTCCGGCGAAGAATTTTAATGAGAATTTTGAAAATAATTTAATTCTATATGGAAGAATTTAATTATTTATGAAAATAATTAAATTATCATAAATTTAAATCTTGAAAAATTTTGTTATTTATTAAAAAATATTTCAATTCATTCGAAGAATGTTTAATTTTTAAAAAAAGTAATTGAATTATTTCCATCAATTTTATTGAAATAAATCAATTCCTATTAAAAATTTTTGGAATTAATTTTTGGAAATAATTTAATTGTAGGGAAGAATTTTGTTTTTTATATAAAATATTTCTATTCTTCTAAAGAATTCGAATTAATAATTAAAATAATTGAATTTTTTTGCTATGAATTTCATTAAAAATTTTGAGAATAATTGAATTTCAATGACAAATTATATTAATTATGAAAATAATCTGCTTCCTACGAAGAATTTTATGGAAATTAAAAAAAAATAATTATATTCTTTCAAGAATTTAAATTTAAAAAAAAATAATTGAATTCTTTCGAGAAATTTAATTTAAAGTGTATTGAAAATAACTAAATTACTAAATTAAATAATTAAAAATTTTTGTTAAATAATTATTTAATTGATGCGAAGAATTATAATCAAATTTATAAAAATAATTGAATTCCGGCAAAGAATTTTATTAGAGCTTTTGAAAATAATTGAATTTGTGCGAGAAATTTTATTATTTTTTATCAAAATAATTAATTATTGTTGCGAAGAATTATAATAAAATTTTTAAAAATAATTGAACTTCAGCGTAGAATTTTATTAATTATGAAAATAATTTAATTCTTCTAAAGAATTTTTCTAAAAATTTTGAAAATTTGAATTTTCTTAATATCTGAATAATTAAATAAACGAATAATTGAATTTTTAAAAATATTTTTATTAAAATTTATAAAAATAATTGGATTTTTACGAAGAATTTTATCAAAATTTTTGAAAATATTAATAATAATTAGTTAACTAGTCAATTAGTGGATTTTTTCAAATTTGAATCTGTAATTATTAAAAAATTGAAATTGATATTTGAATAAACAAAAACAGAAAAAGAATTAAATGTTAAAAGAATTCTTTTTTTGGAGAGAATTCAATTTAATGGAAAAATGAAAATTTAAAAATCAGAAAAACAATTTTGAAGAGATATTTTTTTTTCAGTCTGTCACTTTTGATCCAATGCGACCGACTCGTCAACTACCAAGAAGTCCGATTCCACCTGTTAAAACTCTCGATGAAACCTCTGTTGAAACTCCTGATGCAACACCCGCTGTAACACCTGCAAGTTCAATCAGTAATTCTCCGCCGATTGTCAGTAAATATCTTTTTTCACAGGGTCTTCAAATTTCTAGTCCGCCACCTGAGATTTTAGAAGGTTAATAATAAATAATTAATAAATAATATAATGAAATAAAGAAAATAAACAAATTTATTATATTTTAGATAAAATAGAAAATTTCTTCTTTCAAGTAAATAGAATGTATATAATTTCTTCTTCAATAAGAATAATAAATAACTTTTTTTTTCATTTTCAGATCTAAAAGAGGTAGAAGTGGATCCCGTAGTTTTTAGTAAGAAACTCGTTACTTGTCGTAAATGTAAACGTTCCTTCTTTCCTCATCGTATTCAACTACACGAAGTTATTTGCTCAAAGAAATGAGAGTCCTAATTTATTTTTTCACTCAGTGAAAAAAATGGAAAGCAAATTTTACGTAAAAAAATACAAAGAAAAGGATTAATGGAGAAATCAAATTTCGATCATATTTTGTTTAAAAAAAAAGTCGTGATATTTATTTGTGAGTATATTAATTACTTTTTTAAACTTTTTTTTTGCGCATTATGACTTTTTTTTAATGTGCAATCGACGTATGATTATAATCCAAAATGTCGAATTTCACATTAATTATTTATTTTTATAATCGAATCGAAAATTTTTTTTCTTTCTTATATTATCAGTAATGTCAAAAAAAAAGAGATTTTGAGACTGAAAAGAATATATCTGATTTCCTTTTTATGTACGTTAAAAATTAATTAATTAGTCAATTAAATTTTGTAGCAATATAATTATATAATAAAGAAAATAAAAAGCAATTATTTAGAAAATGGCAAATTTTTTTAAGCATTCTTCAAAAATAAAAAATTTTGTTAAGAAATTATGATTAGAAATAAGAATTACCTATGGAAAATTGTTTCTTCTTTTTCTTAAAGAAACTCATAATTTTCTGAACAAAATTGCGATTAAAAAACAGAAATTTTACACAAATTTTTTTTCTAAAAGAAACGAAAAATTTTTTAAACAAAAAATATGATTGACAAATCAAAATTATGAACATTTTTTTTATCATTTTATATAAATCTTTTAAAGTTCTCAGTTTTATTTTCAATTATAAATTTTGATCGGTATGAAAAAAAATTTTCTTTTATCTTTATTTCTAAAAATATCAAATTGTGGTGAAAAAATAGAAATTATGTAAATTTTTTTATTATTACTAGACTAACTGTAAAATTCGTTAAAAAAATTTAATTGAGAAATATAAAATAGGTCCAAACTTCTTTCTTTTTTCTTCTTTTTTAAAGAGAAGAAAGAAAAGCAGAATTTTGTATACAAATTTTAATTTTGAAACAGAAATTCTGCAAAGTATTTTTCATTAATTTCTAACAGAAAAATTGTAATTTCGTTTAAAAATTGTGATTAAAAATACAGGAATTACACAATTTTTTTCCAAAAGAAACTAACATTTCTTTAAACAAACAATATTATTGACAAATCAACATTTTAAAAATTTGTTACCTAAGTTCATAAAAATCTTTTAAAATTTTTAAATTTTCAATTAAAAATTGCGATTGCAGGCCTCGAATATTTTTATGACCTGTTAGACTTTTTTCGACTATTTTCAAAAAAATGCTAATTTTTTAGACTTATTTTCAAAAACTACGTCTTTTCGACTTTCTTTCCAAATATTGCAACAAAATACCACATTTTTAGTATAAAATTTAACTTATTTCGATTTTTAAAGTGTAAAAAATAACTATATAGACAAAATCATTCAAAAATTATTTTTAAAGCATTTTTTAAAATTAAATTTTCGAAATATATACCTATACAATTTAAAATTTTGTAAAATTTAATTAAAAATAATTTAATTCCTGCGAAGAATGTTAATTGCAAATTTTGAAAATAACTTTGAAATCACAAAAAATTTGCAAGTTTAAATTTAAAAATGAAAATTAATTGAAAATAATTAGTTTTTTTTTATTACAATTTTTGAAAATTACCATTTTGGAGGCAACAATGATGTTCAAAATTTTTAATTAAAATTCTTCAAAAAAATTATAAACTAAGTCTTATAATTGCTTTATCATATTTTTTTAAGATTCAATTATCTTCGAACAAAGAAAATTACAATTTTGTTAAAATTTACTTTTTAAAATTTATTAAAATTTTGAAGAAATCATGTTCATATTTATAATTAAAATTCTTCAAAAATTTGATTATTTTTTTTAATTTTTCAAAAATTCAATTATTTGGAAATTTTCCAATTACAAATAATTGAAAAACTATTATCTTTCAAAATAATAATTGAATTCTCTTGAAGAATTTTATTTATAAAGAAAATTTAATTCTTTCAAAGAATTTTATTAAAAATTTTGAGAATATATTAATTCCAGGGATTATTGAATCATTTGAGAATAATTGAATTCTCTTGAGGAATTTTTTTATTTATAAAAAAATATTCAACTCTTTTAAAGAATTTTAATAAAAGTAATTGAATTGTTTCGATAAATTTTAATTAAATTGTATTGAAATACATAATTAAATTCCTGCAAAGAATTTTAATAAAAATTTCGAAAATAATTAAATTCTGTGGAAGAATTTTGTTATTTTAAAAAAATATTTTAATTCTTTGGAAGAATTTTTAATTTTTTAATATACAAATAAGTGAATTGTTGGGATAAATTTTAATGAAATTGTATTGATATATAATTAAATTCCGGCAAAGAATTTTAATAAATATTTTGAAAATAATTGCATTCCAGAGATGAATTTTATAACTTATGAAAATAATTAAATTCTATTAAAAAATTTTATTATTTATAAAAAATATTTCAATTCTTTTGAGGAATTTTTAGTTTTCTAGAAAAAATAATTGATTGTAGAAATTTTAATAAAATTGTATTAAAATAATGAAGAGGAGGGTACAACAATATTTTTAACTATATGTATCAAGAAAATAATTTAAATATTCCACAAAGTTATTTTTAACTATGTACTTATTTTTTTGTGAGGATTTCAATGATCAAAAAATAAAATCGGTCAAATAAAATCATAAAATTATGATCTGAAATTAGTTAGAAAAAGTAAACAAATGAATTTGCATATAAAAAGACAAACATAAAACCAATAACATAAAAACAATGTTTAAAAAAAAAATGCTTTAAAAATAATAATACATAATTTTTTTCATTTGGACATTTTTTTGTGAATTCAAAAAAATATTTTCTACAAAATTATGCATAAATTTCAAAATCTATAAATTTTTAAGAAAAATAAAAATTTTTAAAGTGGCCTGAATATTTTATGCCCGATTTATTTTATGATCATTGAATTTTTCACAAAAAATGACCTTAAATATAATTTTGTGAAATATTTATCAGATTATTATTATAGTTAATGATTGTGATTTAAATAATTTTGAAGACAAAAATTTTAGCCCACTCACATACGATTATATTGAAGAACATCTACTATACAATATTTTTTCGATTACTAACAATATTCTCTAATTTTACATACAATGTAAATCATTTCATTATTATGTGTACATATACAATATATGTATATTTCTATAATACGTTATATTAATATAATTATATTTCTATAATATTACACTATATTATTATTCTTATTATTATTATTATAATTATTATAATTATATTAATATAACATATTATTCGATCACTATATCTAATCTATAATCAATAATCCTAAATCGCTAAGCGATAAAGGATGAATTTTTCATTTCTTTTTATTTCCATTATTGTATGTACAAAATAATGTTTGATCATTCATAAAATTATATTATATATATATATATATTTATTTTCCTTTAATTTCACAATACACATATTTCAAATCCAATTTTATAATCAAATATGTACTTCCATTTATGTTTGATAAACAATTAATCGCCTTTGTTTTAATTATTATTATTATTATTTTAAAGAGGTATTTTATATAAATATATAATAATAACTAACAATTTCTCTTTATTATAGAAAAACAAAAATGAGATGCTGATTTTAAATATATTGACAGAAAGGAAAAAAAAAGTTCTTAATTGTCAATTGTTCGCTTTGCTGCGCTTTATATTTGATGGTCAATTATTGTATAATAGAAAATCAAAAATTTCATTTTCATTTTTGAAATTCAAATATCATCGATTAATTTATGTATTTTTATTCAACATTTTATTAAACTTTTATATGATTTATTATTATATTTACTTTAATTAATGAGTTTTATTTAAATATCTCAACTAATTCAAAGAAATATTTTTAAAAAAAAATGGAAATTAATGTGAAAAGGAATAAATTAAGACGAAATTTTTAATCGATATATTCGAATTTCTTTAAATTCAATATTTGGAAAGGAATTTAAGAGAATAAATTAATAATGGCAGGACAGTCTCTAATAAAAATGATTAATTCTGGCATAAATTCTGTAGATTTTAGAATTTGTATTAGAAAAGTTTATTAAAATTTTTTATAATTATAAAAATTCTTTCGAGGAATTTTATTGAAATTAAATTGCAAATAAATGAATTCTCATAAAGAATTTTATTAAAATTTTTTTATTGAATGATTTTAACAATTTAATTAAAAATTTTTAAATTATTTGAATTTTCTTGAGAAATTTTTTGAAATTTTAATTGAAAATAATTGAATTCCTTTAAAGGATTTCATTATTAATGAAAATAATTGAATTCCTGAGAAGAATTTCATTATTTATGAAAATAATTGAATTCCTGAGAAGAAATAAAAAATAAAACTTTTAAAAATAATTCAATTCTTACGAAGAATTCTATTATTTATGCGAAAATAATTTAATTCCTAGGAAGAAATTCAGTATTTATTTAAAAATCCTCAAAAGAATTAAACTATTTTAAAAAATTTTTCTAAAATTCGCCAAAAGAATTTAATAATTTCCTTAAGTTTTGTTAAAATTCTTGATAAGAATATTTATTTCATTTTTTTTCAAATAATTGAATTCCTTTAAAGAATTATATTACTTTTGAAAAAATTAAATTCTTTTAAATTATAAATAAATTTTTAATATAATTAAATATTTGCAAAAAGTTTTATTTATGAAAATAATTGAATTCTTGTGAAAAATTTTGTAAAAATTATTCAAAGTAATTAAATTTCTACGAAGAATTATATTAAAATTCTTTAAAATAATTAAATTACTGCGAAAAATTTTATAAATAATGAAAATAATTGAATTTTTTCCAGGAATTTAATTAAAATGTTATTAAAAATATTTTTCCAATTCTCATAAAGAATTTAATAAAAAAAATTTAAAGTACTTCAATTACTGCGAGAAATGTTATAAACTATGAAAATAATTGAAATCTGTCAAAGAATTTAATTAAAATTTTCGAAAACAATTGAATTTTTTTGAGGAATTTAATTATAATTGTATTGAAAATATTTCAATTCTCATAAAGAATTTTATCAAAATTTTTCAATATTACCTATTGATTTTTTGCGAAGAATTTTATTAATTATGAAATTAATTTTCGAAAACAATTGAATTTTTTCGAGGAATTTAATTAAAATTGCATTGAAAATATTTTAATTCTCATAAAGAATTGAATCAAAATTTTTCAAAATAATTGAATTTTTGCGAAGAATTTTATCAAATTTTCCAAAATAATTGAATTCTTTTGCGAAATTTTATTAAAATTGTATTGAAAATAATTGAATTCCTGCGAAGAATTTTATTAAAGTTTTTGAAAACAATAAATAATTATTATTAATCAATAAATTAGTTAATAATTGAATTTTTAAA